CATGAGATCAGGGCCCTTGCTGCGTCATGGGCCCTCCTCAATGGGTCCCCCTTTCAGGAGGTCATGTCCGCAGCTTTCTGGCGCGGACAGACTACCTTCACGGATTTTTATCTCCGGTCCTTGGCCTCTCATTCTGATGGATTGTATTCCCTTGGACCGGTGGTGGTTGCACAGTCTGTGGCTGTTCCTCCACAGTAATTCAGTGATTTTAAATAGTATGCTATCAGGCACCACGGTGGTACACCTGCTCGTTTCACGGGGAGGTTTTCCATTTTTTAATTACTTTCGGGGCTTTATTAGGGGGGTTCCTTGAACCTTTTCCCTACCTTGAGCATGTCTCGAGTTTGTTCCGTCAGCCTGGTCTGCCTGGATTCGAAGCCTCCACTACGGTAAGACGAATTCGCATACTAAAGTTATGGTAATTATTACTGAAATGAAATTGAGGTTTTTGAAGTAAAACCAATTTTCATGATGTAATACTTACCATAACTTTATGGAGTCCCACCCTGTATTCCTCCCCTTGCCTCCTCATCCTGGCTGCCTTTAGGCTCCATAAAAGGGGGTTTGAGGAAGGGAGATCACTCCGTGGCTCTGTCATCGAGATAGAGGTTACGTCACGGTAGGGAGGTAGGGATATTTGAATCTTTTGTTTTTCCGGCTACAAAGATGGGTGTAGGTATTGTATATGCATACTAAAGTTATGGTAAGTATTACATCATGAAAATTGGTTTTACTTCAAAAACCTCAAATTTTTCACAGCGCGGAAATGCTGGTGTTTCTTGCATTAGGTTAATTAGTGCAAAAAAATCAACATGCAAATATCTCTATATGAATTATATCAATAAAGATATTTGATAGATGCAAAAAAAATCCTTACTGTGATCAGTTTAAAATGTCAAAATGTGAACATTTCCATTTGCTAAAGCCTCCACATTTACTTTAGTTAGTACGTTATTAGGATAATGTGATCTGGTAGGGTGTGCTGATACCATATCCAGGCTATGACATTTCAGTGAGATGACACTATAAAGTGGATCTGGACTTGCCCCTTGACATCTATCGACACTGTCTTTATGTGACCAAAGCTGTTGTGAGGATGCAAAATCATAAACAAACTTCCATTGATTTTGATGTTAATCTTTTCACCATTAATGGCAACGTTGCTCCCCCCAAACACAACTCACAGCCAATCTGTCAATTCTGTGTGAATGGTAACAGGCTTGTTTGATTACCTATTCTGAACATCTATAAATCAAGGCGCTGTTAATGAATCAGAAAGATTGTATCGGCAGTAATTATTTGAAAAGGTTGATGTGGACTTGAGTAATACTCATTGGTATGAACATTTGGTCATCAGTCTTACAACAGACATCATATCTCTATCAGCTCACCGAGTCCGAAGGACCAAGGTGAGCTTATGCCATACCGTGGCATCTGTCGTCCGTCTGTCAACAATTTCTTTAAGCGACTTTTTCTTAACCACTGATTGGAATTTAACTAAATTTGACTGGAAGCATCCTTAGGTGGTGGAGATTCAAAATTGTACAAATGGTTGGGCTGACCCACCAGAGGGCTGAGGGGCGGGGGCAATTTGGCTATATTGCTTTAAGGGACTTCTCTGGAACTAAGAGATGGATATCAACCATATTTGACTGGAAGCATCCCTAGGTGGTGGAGATTCAAAATTGTACAAATGGTTGGGCTGACCCACCAGGGGGCTGAGGGGCGGGGCCAAAAGGGAGCATTTTGGCTATATTGCTATAAACAACTTTTTTTGTAGAACTATGCCATGAATATTGATCATATTTGGTCGGAAGCATTCATGGGAGGCAGGGATTCAAAATTGTACAAATGGTGGGGCTGACCCCCCGGGCTAAGGGGTGGGGCCAAAAAAAGATCTCCACCATATAACCATATATACAATTGCTGAGTATAAAGAGAAGAATGCACATTTACTTCCAGGATGGCCCTAGGGTCTGGCCCCACCTTTGGATACATAGTCCCTTGGCCATAACTTTTAAAAACGGTTGAGATCCCCACCCCAAAACTATATATATAAATGCTTGGCATAAAGAGACGAATGCAGTCATGATATTAGAATAGACCTTGGGGTCTGACCGAACCCCTAGGGACCTTGTTTCTTAGTCACAGCTTGGAAACAGTTGAGATACCCATCCTATAACCATATATAAAAATTGCTGAGTATAAAGAGATGAATGCACATATGCTTCCAGGATGGCCTTGGGGACCGCCCCTACCTTGGAGACTTAACCCCTGGGTCATAACTTTGAAACAGTTGAGATCCCCACCCCAAAAATATATATATACAAATGCTGGGCAAACAGACACAAATGCAGTTAGCTAGTCATGATATTATAATTGATCCTGGGGTCTGGCTACAACCCTAGGGACCTAGTTTCTGAGTTACAGCTTGGAAACAGTTGAGATCCCCACCCCATGACCATACATAAAATTGCTTGGCATGAAAAATCTAATACAGATATGCTACAAGGATTGGCCTTGGGGTCTGGCATATTCTCTTGGATCTCATTTGGAGAATATTTTGCCATGATTGCTTAGATATCCAGGTGAGCGATACAGGTCCTCTGGGCCTCTTGTTTATATTTCTTTTGTGGTGAACTATCTTTAAATCTTAGTCTGCTTTTAGAAGTTAAGTAGCAAAACTTATTGGATTGCTTTGTTTTTTCATGTCTTGCAGCTTTTTAATGTTTGATGATTTTCAGGTAACTGTATCGGAGGAGTCTGGCATTGTGAGTTTAATGGTTGTAAGGGCACAGGGTGCCATGGGTCTGGTGTCGGTGGAGTGGAGAGCAACTGATGGAACAGCCCTCAACAACAAGGACTACTCTGTAAGTACAGGTGGTTGGGGGATTAATTGAACACCCCTTGTTGCTAGGGAAGAACACTTCCAGTATATGTCTAGTTTTTATACCGCCAGCAACGAAGTTAGGGGGGAGGGGGGTATACTGGAATCAGATTGTCTGTCCGTCTGTGACGGAATGTAGTACCTTGTACTCCACCTAAACTGCTGGATGGATTTCAATTGAATTTGCTGATAACAATCCTTGCAGCTTGGAGATGTGCTTAAAGTACTTTTCATTGGGTTATCTCACCTTTTCACAAAGTTATGGCCCTTGGTTCATAAACCTCATTTTATATTCAATTCCTTTCAAATTTGGTATGGTAATACTAGAAAGCAATAATGTTTAGCATATGTAACGGGATTTTTGTCAGATTTCAACTTAATTACCGTAGGTATTTTGTATACACATATACCATGGAATATTGTAGGGATTAATGAAAGCTACTCCACTGACAAACTTCAGAGGTCTTAGGGTCAAAGGTCACGAATGAATTGTGTTAATGAAATGGCTAAATATCTCGGAAACGGAAGGTATTTTGTATATACATATACGTTAAAATATTGAAGGCTGTAATGCAATCTACTCTACTGACAGCTTCAGAGGTCGTGGGGTCAGAGATCAAAGGTCTTAAATGAATTATGTTACCGAAACGGCTAATTATTTTGGAAACAGTAGATATTTTGTATACACATATGCAGGCTATATTGTGACAAACCAAGGTCATAAGGTTAAAGGTCAAAGGTCACAGATGCATTATGTTACTGAAATGGCTAATTATGGCAGAAATGGTAGGTACTTAGTATACACATACCTTGGTACAAGCTAAATTGTGACCAAATTCCGAGGTCAAAGGTCACAGTAGTGGTGTTTGTCTTTTCCATCGGTCTGTCGATACAGCATCTGAGGTTAGACTTTTTCATGACCCTTTATCTTTCTATATATTTTTTCCCTTGTTTATTTAGCCCCTACAGGGGCAACAAGTAGCCGAAATGGGGGTGGGTGGGTGTTATTAATTAGCGACAGTTCTAGTTGAGAGAGGTGAGGTGTGGTGGTTGGCCCAAGAGAAGGAAAGAGAGTAAGTGAAAATCTTAATATGGGAGAGACAAATGAAATTGATGCAGACTGTCTGTAAAATATCTTTACTTTTGTTGCAGTGTTACTACATTCATCGTACATCATAATGTCATGAAAAATCACATGGTTTCTATATTCTGTTCATGTTTATATAAACATTAGAAAGGACTGTTAAACAAAGCAGTGCCAGGAATGTGTTTTACTTCCTGGCTCCGGGGTCATGAATGTTTGTTAAGGAAAATCTTTCAGTATCTTGAGATTTTCCATTTTGATAGGAAAGCATTGTTGAAATTGAAGGAAAATCTCTTTAAATTTAGTTTGTCCTTGCCTCAAATATGGAAAAGTTGAAGTAAGGAATTTCTAAAATTTAAGGAATGTTCATGAAACTTGGTCCAGGAGTAGTATCCCTCCCTATTGAAATGTTTCCTAAGGTTTACGTCTAGGGATCTCACACATGAAGTTTTTGGATTCTGTACACATGGCATCATGCCACAGATGATTGGAATCGCGTGCCATAAAAACACACTGCAGGGACTCCTCGTTAGGCTCGTCTGGTGCCCATTTTATAAACGCAAAAGGCTGCATCAGAATCTCCGATTTCCACATCCACTGACGTGTGGTGTCGTGGAACGTTCCGCTCATCCACCATCCGTTCACCTTTTGGTACACTGTAATACAATAGTACTGTGGACATTAGGGAGGTCGAGGAAAATGAATTTAAGGTAAAGATATTCAGCAACTGTGTAGGTTTGGCAACCTGTGGAATTGCATACTAAAAAAATGTTGTACTTTTGACATTTTTAAGATAATTTTCTTATATTGTAAACCACTGAGATCATTGGATGATTTTTCAGCTGCAATTAATGCTTATACTGATAAAGAGGTGTAATTCTATCTACTTCCAAATTAGTACATAAATGTTCTTTCTACCATGAAGCTTTATAGTTATGGTAAAGTGGTTGTTGTTGATTAAAGATTCATATCATCCTGTTTCAGTAAAATAAAAATAAACATATTTTGTACCTAAATTCCTCTTTTGAATATGTCAAATAATATATTGATGTAGTGTAACAGATTTAGTATTACTATAACTTTAATCATGTGTGTTTCTCATGTAACAAGTACAGATTGTCTGTCCCCAAATATTCTCATTTATCAAGTGTGCCATTTCCTTCTTGGTTTTGAATTAATATAATGAATGCATCTGTACCATTAGATAAACAGATAATTTCACTTCAATGTTTGTTATTGTACAAGAGGGAAAATCCATGGCAGTGCAATAACTAATATATAGTGGTAAGCATAAGGACACAAATTAAACACAGAGAAAATTGGTGTTTAAGGCCTAGGGCCAGAGAACAAGAACGTTTGAGTGGTCAGTTGGCACAGTGGAAAACGCACTGGCCTTTCACCAAGGTGGCAGGGGTTGGACATGAAAAGGTATTGGGTTACTTGCCTGACCATGTGATTTTCATAGGGTAATCTGGTTTCTTCCAACATTAAGACCCCCTTTGCACTAAAATCTTGCCCAACAAGAGTGACTAATTTAACTTTTAAAAACTTATTTAAAAATTGTTGTTAAATGAATCAAGTGGATATCTATTAAAATTGTGGGGATTAAAAGATACAACTTGCAGAGATGTTTTATGATAAGTGAGAGTTGCTGACAATAAATGTGAGACCTACAATAGTAAGACCTACCTGGTGAGTTTTTGATGATAAAAGCCAGCAGATTGTGTTCCTTCTCATTTTTGAGGCTGACGAGTTCACTCTCCAGGGCGGCACAGTAGTCGCGAGCCTCGTACCAGGTCGCGTTAAAGTTGGACAGCATGTAACAGGAGTCCCAGCTCTTAACAAACTCAAATCCATGCGGACATCTGAGTCCACCATCGCGACCCTCGGCATCTAGCTTAGACTGATCTTGACCGTCAAGATTATCAAGTTTGTCCTCAAGTCTGCGCAACCCTCTGTGGAGACGTTTGGACAAATCTCCCATAGATTTCACCAGGTTGCTTTGAACTCTTATTAAGCGCCGTCTGATTTTGTGAAGTTCAACGGAAACATTGTGTGTTTCTATGCTAGCTGTAGACCTTTTTTTTCGACTTCCAATCCTGTCATTTTCTGATTTCTTGAAGTAGTTTTCTTGACTGTTTTCTTTGCATCCTTCGCCAAAGCTCTCAGTCAGTGTAAATTTGTACTGACAACTGTCTATTTGAAGTTGACAAGACGGCAAAGGATTGTTTACCTGCTGTGAAACTTGTATCAAAGCGAAGAAGAAGAAGAGCATCCACATTTTAACAGCGTATGATTTTCTCAAGGTTTACCTGATGAACTATGTATGCCTCCCAGGGTGTGTAGATAGAGACTGTTGCTTCGATTGCATATTTAGCGTTATTGCGTCAATGACTCAAAGAATGTAACTAAAAATGTTAAAACCAACAAGGGTATTCATGATAAGGTTTTCACTTTTATACTGTCAACAAATCTCTCGGTTAAGGACATCTGTTAAAATGTTATGAGGCTTCACATCTTTGTGTTTGGATTCATACTGTGATGCACCTATACACACAAAATGAAATTGAATTGCTTCCGGTGAGAACTTTATAAAACCAGATCTAATTCACTGTTGACTTTAATTCCATATTTCGCAGGGCTCAGTAAGGGGAATGGCATTTATCTTCAATTTTCTTTTGTGATTTTTGGCACTTGAATAAAATGACAAATGCTTAAAAATGTGGGAGTGATCATTTAAACACATAGCCAAAAGATGATAAATTCGGAACTATGTGCAGTAGCTGGTTACAAGAATAAGAGGGTCCTATTATTTCCTCATTGGAATGAAATTAGTAGGGTCTCACTAATCCCTGGACAAGACTAGTGTCCAATACAGAGGGGGTTGTATAGGGTTGTGTGTTATAGGGGGTGACAACTGTTGGATGTTAGTCTATACAGTGTACAGTATCAGTGTTCGATATGGTGTACCTGTAAATACAGGTGATATGGTCACAGAGCAGGATTCCCCACCCACAAAGTTAAATGTAGCGTAATTCTATAATCCCTCCTAGGCCAGCTGTCCATGCATAGAGGTGTAGCATTGATTGTATCATTGAACATAATTGTTGAAGTAAGTTCTGTATAGCAAGGTGTAAAGCAAAATGGGTATGGAGAAAATACATTCCTTGGGTTAACTCTTTCACCCCTGTGGAACTTCAAATGACTCTACTGTGCATTGATCAGGAGGAGTCCATAATGGTCTGCAGGGGTGAAAGGGTTCAGATTTCGCCATCACTTAAAGGAACTGTTATTAGATATAATCTTTGTATGTATTATCTGTTGTTCAAGGTTGCTTATGTTATTACATTAAAGTAGAAATTCCTAGCACTCTGTGTTGTGTCTCCAACAAAAGAGAGTTCCAATATGTATTTTTCTGAGTTGGAGTTTACCATTTACTATAATATGTAAAGGTTATTGCATGGTTTTCGAGTAACAAGGGATTTATTACACCCGAGTGAAGCGAGGGTGTAATAAGTCCCAAGTGACGAGAAATCATGCAATAACTGGCTTACTGCATGCTTCCCAACTCGAACCAAAACAGAAAAATTGAGTAAAAAATGTTCACCTGGACAATCTTTTTACCTACCCTACACTGCAGATAATTTACATGTGTGAGTGAGTACTAATCAGAACCAGGTAAGTTTGTCTTTATTCTCAATAGCCAAGTCTGAGTGTATCCTTCATAATGGATACAAGTGTTTTTGGATTACTATCCAGCTCCAGTGTCAGGGAAGGTAAGGAGTGTCTTGTTCAACAATTAGAACAAAATACAGGAAATAATGTTGAATTTCTGACTACATTTTCAGTTTAATTTTCAAGATGTGGCAAAGGTACAGGATATTGAAACCATTTTCATACATACAATGTAAGGGTTTATCAATCCCTAAGGAATTCCATTTCTTTCAATGAATGGTATATTTGAATGGTCAATTTTGTATAAATAAACAGCTCCTAAAGATTATAAACTTTTCCAGGAAATGCTTATCCTCTCAAGTGATAACGAAATCAATATCGCTGCCAACTTAGTAATTTTGTTTGTTTGTTTTTCAATCATGAAATTAACAAAAAAAATCCTTTTTTTTTCCTGATTTTAAATGTGTCAATTAAGTTTATCCTTTCCACTGTATTGACTTCATCGTTACTCACTGATTGATTATCTCCCCTTTCTTACTGTATTTGTGACCACAGTCCACTGGGCACACCCCCTTTCATGGTCATGTAATCATGATTGGCCATGGATTATGTGTGCGGTGGACTGTGGTAGCAAGTGATTTATTGCCCACACTTTTCCATTGTGAGAGGTGGGAAGTATGCAGTAAAGAGTTTTATAGGAAAGCTAGTTCACAGAACATCTCTACCACAGGGATTTAATCTCCAGACCGCTTGGATTTTAAAATAGGGAACATAACTGCTTCAAAAGATGTCATAGCATTGCTTGGGTTATTTCCAAAGAGCTCTAACTCCTTAAAAGACCCACAGCATATAATTGTACTTGAATACATAGGAAATAACATGAATGAAACAAGAAAATAACTCCCTACCATAATTAATGTTAATTAGTCGGCATTGGGACTATTTCTGTCTAGGACATAAATTATACAACATAATTGTATGTTGTACATTGTAGTACATGTTTTATTATGTCCATGTTAATGTTATGTTAATAAGCCCATTTAATAACTGTTAGAATGTGTTTACTTTGACCCTCGAGTGAATTCCCATGTTAAACAGCTGCATTGAAGGTCACATAAGGTCACTCTAACTACTTGTTTTATATATATCTTCGATCAAATATCCATTTCATAATCGTATTTAAGGTATGACAATACCTCAAATGAATGAACAAACAAGGGAATTGTTATCATATAAGATACCTTATTAGGTTTTTACCATGTGTTTTCTCTCCATGAAAAAAGTTATAATGGACTTGTATTATTTCCTGCTCAAATATCTATTAATTATATGTGAGATATTTCAATTAAGAATGTTTACATGAATAAATATGAAAAACATTGTATAAGTAAGTTATTCAGAATAATATGTATGCAATATTCTAACACAAATACTGAACTGCTTCCTGCTGGCTAGTAAATGAAATAGTGAATGCTATCAAGCTTGACTGGTACGTTTAATTTTCTTCATCGTTCAAATCTATTTTCCAATTTCCCACATTATGATACAGAGGTAAATAATACAATCACAAAAACAGGGGTGATCCATTCACTGTTTCAAATTTTGTTAACAGATTACAGACTAAAGGGAGACAACTCTCCATTACATCAGTGCAAGGCTGGGGTGCAATTCGTTTAATACTTTCGAAATTTCATGTATTATTTTAGGCAAATAATTTCAGTCCAAGAAACTAACATTGGTCGAAGGTAAAATATGATGAAAATTAATAAGTATCATATCATCTGACCTAATTTTTACTCATGTGTTATAGTTACTTGTGTAACATGGTTCTGGTTTATGACGTGTACTCATTGGGCCATCCTGATGGTCAGTATTCAAGCTCTTCTTAATGATAAATTTGATTTAAAAATTCCAGGCAGGAGTTGGGCGTCTGACATTTCAGGCCAGCCAATTGTATGACTTCATCAACATTGCCATCGTGGACAACAATCTCCCAGAGGACCAGAAGTATTTCAGTGTTGACCTGCTGAACCCTACAGGTGGGGCAGCTATAGGGGTGGCATCCTCCATCACCGTCACCATCGACCACTCAGATGGAGCCTTTGGTGTGTTTGAATTTGAAACGTCTTCTCTTAATGTAGAGACGGAGGAGGTTGGAGATTCCGGATTCAGCACAGTCATAATACAGGTCAGAACTGTTTAGTACTCCTTTATTTATACACATGCATTATAATGTATTTGTTATCAGGTGCTGGTCGCAGGTTGATGGATGTTTCCACCAGTCACTCTCGTTTTCCACCACCGCAAAAACCTAGTCGACCTTAAATAACCATAGCTGTTAATTGGATGTAAAGGACAAACAAACTAAACCCTGTACATTTCTTGCTGTTGAAATTAAATTATTTAACAGTATACATCTTCTATAAATGGAATATAAACATTTGCATGAGATTTGCCTGCACAAATTTATTATCTGCGCATTTCACATTCGGTGGGGGACTATAATTCGCCAAATTGTTTTGTTCATTTATGTTCCCCCTTAAAGCTTATGTAAACATTTGCTGATTGCCCAAAACATTAAAAGTTGTTTCATACTTCAGAAGAAAAGCTTGTGGATTTTTTGTCAGGCATTTCATCATACACTGGTCTTTATTTTTTGGTTAGATTATACGTAAGCAGGGCAGCTTGGGAGCATCCAATGTGACCTGGCAGATTTTAGGTCAACCTGACAATGATGTCTTAGAAACCACAGGAAATGTGACCTTTAACCATGATGTTACCATGGCAACATTTGAGGTGAAAATCCGTGGGGACACCGTACCAGAACTAGACGAACTCTTCCAAATACAGCTGTCAGCAGTTAGCAGGGTGTGTTGTCATAGTTGCTGTGTAAAATCTCACAGAATTCTTAACGTTCTAATTGTTTTTGTGACTGAGCTGTATGTTTACTTTGAAAGTTCAATATCTGGAATTCCTGATCAGAAAACTGTCTAGTTTCACTGTAACAATATGAATTTAATCTATTACTTTTAGCTCCATGCTGAGTATAACTCATTGTTAAAATTTCAGCAATTGTCAAGTACCCATTCATCAATCCCAATAAAGAGATGTTCCATGCTTCTAAGATAGAATCTATTATCAAGTTCGATTTATGGGACACATTATGTTATAAATGAGTTTGGTTAACTTGGTTGTACATGTTACATGACTTGTATAAACTGTTATTTTTGTTACAGGGAGGTCTGGCTGGGCCAGATTTGATTACAGCTAAGCTGATCATCAAGGCCAATGATAATCCCTATGGAATGTTTGTCGTTGCCGATGACCAACGCCCTGTCATTGTTACAGAAGCACTCAAAAGTAAGATTTGAGACAAAATAAGGATGGTACATTTTTGACACCTGCATTAGGTTACGCTAGTGACCTAACGCAAGTGTATAGGGGATTGCGCATACTACGGAATTTGCTTAACGTGGAACTGCACTATCGATACATACACCATCTATGACTATATATAGTCTTTCTGTCCTTATATGGCAGCTGATATCTCCTTATATGGATGTCATTCATTCACATTTCATTCATATGCAAATGTTTTTGGCGGTGACCCCTAGCATTTTCATTATAATCAGACATGATGTTTTAATAAAATCTTTTTTTACATGAATCAAAAATCTGAATGATCTCTTACAGATATAACCATCACCATAGAGAGGAAGCAAGGACAATTTGGTGTTGTGGATGTCGGCTATAAAACATTGACGCCACTGGAGTCGCCTCCCTTTATTTCTAGCACAGTTGTTAGGGCAAGTGACAAGGACTTCCGTGCAGCCGAGGGAACAGTCAGGTTTGCTGCTGATCAATCAGAGGGAACCTTTGTGGTTCTGATTCTGGAAGACGAGGAACCAGAAAGTGACGAGTCTGTCTTTGTGCAACTGACACAAGTCAGCATTGTTACTGCTGCTCAAGCAAACCCAGGTAAGATCACCAGATAGGCAAACTTAGGTTAGAAAAGCTGTACAACATAGGTAACGTTCCAAAATCTTTAATAACCAGTAATATAATAACAAACATACATTTGTAGGTCCCTTTAAGGTTTGGTTGTAAAAGACTCGAACAGAGAGTGGACAAAATTTCAGAAAATTGTATAGTTTCCATAGATGATACATTTATTGTGGTGAAAGAATGAGCAGGAAAGTGGGATTCTTGTGGAATAATGAGTGTTTTCTTATGGTTGCAGTGCCCAACTCCCCCATGCTTGGTATCGCGGCTGAGAGATATGGTCAGATAATCATAGACCACAACGACAACGCTCATGGTATCCTGGAGATCACACCACTGTCAGTGAATACAGAGGAGTCCAAACTAAACCCAGATGTAAACGTCACTAGGAAGGGTGGAACCTTTGGGGAGGTAAGAACCCAGATAACAACGTCACTAGGAAGGGGGGAACCTTCAGGGAGGTAAGAACCCAGATAACAACGTCACTAGGAAGGGTGGAACCTTCGGGGAGGTAAGAACCCAGATGTCAACGTCACTAGGAAGGGGGGAACCTTTGGGGAGGTAAGAACCCAGATAACAACGTCACTAGGAAGGGGGGAACCTTCGGGGAGGTAAGAACCCAGATAACAACGTCACTAGGAAGGGGGGAACCTTCGGGGAGGTAAGAACCCAGATAACAACGTCACTAGGAAGGGGGGAACCTTCGGGGAGGTAAGAACCCAGATAACAACGTCACTAGGAAGGGGGGAACCTTCGGGGAGGTAAGAACCCAGATAACAACGTCACTAGGAAGGGGGGAACCTTCGGGGAGGTAAGAACCCAGATAACAACGTCACTAGGAAGGGGGGAACCTTCGGGGAGGTAAGAACCCAGATAACAACGTCACTAGGAAGGGGGGAACCTTCGGGGAGGTAAGAACCCAGATAACAACGTCACTAGGAAGGGGGGAACCTTCGGGGAGGTAAGAACCCAGATAACAACGTCACTAGGAAGGGGGGAACCTTCGGGGAGGTAAGAACCCAGATAACAACGTCACTAGGAAGGGGGGAACCTTCGGGGAGGTAAGAACCCAGATAACAACGTCACTAGGAAGGGGGGAACCTTCGGGGAGGTAAGAACCCAGATAACAACGTCACTAGGAAGGGGGGAACCTTCGGGGAGGTAAGAACCCAGATAACAACGTCACTAGGAAGGGGGGAACCTTCGGGGAGGTAAGAACCCAGATAACAACGTCACTAGGAAGGGTGGAACCTTCGGGGAGGTAAGAACCCAGATAACAACGTCACTAGGAAGGGGGGAACCTTCGGGGAGGTAAGAACCCAGATAACAACGTCACTAGGAAGGGTGGAACCTTCGGGGAGGTAAGAACCCAGATAACAACGTCACTAGGAAGGGGGGAACCTTCGGGGAGGTAAGAACCCAGATAACAACGTCACTAGGAAGGGTGGAACCTTCGGGGAGGTAAGAACCCAGATAACAACGTCACTAGGAAGGGGGGAACCTTCGGGGAGGTAAGAACCCAGATAACAACGTCACTAGGAAGGGGGGAACCTTCGGGGAGGTAAGAACCCAGATAACAACGTCACTAGGAAGGGGGGAACCTTCGGGGAGGTAAGAACCCAGATAACAACGTCACTAGGAAGGGGGGAACCTTCGGGGAGGTAAGAACCCAGATAACAACGTCACTAGGAAGGGGGGAACCTTCGGGGAGGTAAGAACCCAGATAACAACGTCACTAGGAAGGGGGGAACCTTCGGGGAGGTAAGAACCCAGATAACAACGTCACTAGGAAGGGGGGAACCTTCGGGGAGGTAAGAACCCAGATAACAACGTCACTAGGAAGGGGGGAACCTTCGGGGAGGTAAGAACCCAGATAACAACGTCACTAGGAAGGGTGGAACCTTCGGGGAGGTAAGAACCCAGATAACAACGTCACTAGGAAGGGGGGAACCTTCGGGGAGGTAAGAACCCAGATAACAACGTCACTAGGAAGGGTGGAACCTTCGGGGAGGTAAGAACCCAGATAACAACGTCACTAGGAAGGGGGGAACCTTCGGGGAGGTAAGAACCCAGATAACAACGTCACTAGGAAGGGTGGAACCTTCGGGGAGGTAAGAACCCAGATAACAACGTCACTAGGAAGGGGGGAACCTTCGGGGAGGTAAGAACCCAGATAACAACGTCACTAGGAAGGGTGGAACCTTCGGGGAGGTAAGAACCCAGATAACAACGTCACTAGGAAGGGGGGAACCTTCGGGGAGGTAAGAACCCAGATAACAACGTCACTAGGAAGGGTGGAACCTTCGGGGAGGTAAGAACCCAGATAACAACGTCACTAGGAAGGGGGGAACCTTCGGGGAGGTAAGAACCCAGATAACAACGTCACTAGGAAGGGTGGAACCTTCGGGGAGGTAAGAACCCAGATAACAACGTCACTAGGAAGGGGGGAACCTTCGGGGAGGTAAGAACCCAGATAACAACGTCACTAGGAAGGGTGGAACCTTCGGGGAGGTAAGAACCCAGATAACAACGTCACTAGGAAGGGGGGAACCTTCGGGGAGGTAAGAACCCAGATAACAACGTCACTAGGAAGGGTGGAACCTTCGGGGAGGTAAGAACCCAGATAACAACGTCACTAGGAAGGGGGGAACCTTCGGGGAGGTAAGAACCCAGATAACAACGTCACTAGGAAGGGTGGAACCTTCGGGGAGGTAAGAACCCAGATAACAACGTCACTAGGAAGGGGGGAACCTTCGGGGAGGTAAGAACCCAGATAACAACGTCACTAGGAAGGGTGGAACCTTCGGGGAGGTAAGAACCCAGATAACAACGTCACTAGGAAGGGGGGAACCTTCGGGGAGGTAAGAACCCAGATAACAACGTCACTAGGAAGGGTGGAACCTTCGGGGAGGTAAGAACCCAGATAACAACGTCACTAGGAAGGGGGGAACCTTCGGGGAGGTAAGAACCCAGATAACAACGTCACTAGGAAGGGTGGAACCTTCGGGGAGGTAAGAACCCAGATAACAACGTCACTAGGAAGGGGGGAACCTTCGGGGAGGTAAGAACCCAGATAACAACGTCACTAGGAAGGGTGGAACCTTCGGGGAGGTAAGAACCCAGATAACAACGTCACTAGGAAGGGGGGAACCTTCGGGGAGGTAAGAACCCAGATAACAACGTCACTAGGAAGGGTGGAACCTTCGGGGAGGTAAGAACCCAGATAACAACGTCACTAGGAAGGGGGGAACCTTCGGGGAGGTAAGAACCCAGATAACAACGTCACTAGGAAGGGTGGAACCTTCGGGGAGGTAAGAACCCAGATAACAACGTCACTAGGAAGGGGGGAACCTTCGGGGAGGTAAGAACCCAGATAACAACGTCACTAGGAAGGGTGGAACCTTCGGGGAGGTAAGAACCCAGATAACAACGTCACTAGGAAGGGGGGAACCTTCGGGGAGGTAAGAACCCAGATAACAACGTCACTAGGAAGGGTGGAACCTTCGGGGAGGTAAGAACCCAGATAACAACGTCACTAGGAAGGGGGGAACCTTCGGGGAGGTAAGAACCCAGATAACAACGTCACTAGGAAGGGTGGAACCTTCGGGGAGGTAAGAACCCAGATAACAACGTCACTAGGAAGGGGGGAACCTTCGGGGAGGTAAGAACCCAGATAACAACGTCACTAGGAAGGGTGGAACCTTCGGGGAGGTAAGAACCCAGATAACAACGTCACTAGGAAGGGGGGAACCTTCGGGGAGGTAAGAACCCAGATAACAACGTCACTAGGAAGGGTGGAACCTTCGGGGAGGTAAGAACCCAGATAACAACGTCACTAGGAAGGGGGGAACCTTCGGGGAGGTAAGAACCCAGATAACAACGTCACTAGGAAGGGTGGAACCTTCGGGGAGGTAAGAACCCAGATAACAACGTCACTAGGAAGGGGGGAACCTTCGGGGAGGTAAGAACCCAGATAACAACGTCACTAGGAAGGGTGGAACCTTCGGGGAGGTAAGAACCCAGATAACAACGTCACTAGGAAGGGGGGAACCTTCGGGGAGGTAAGAACCCAGATAACAACGTCACTAGGAAGGGTGGAACCTTCGGGGAGGTAAGAACCCAGATAACAACGTCACTAGGAAGGGGGGAACCTTCGGGGAGGTAAGAACCCAGATAACAACGTCACTAGGAAGGGTGGAACCTTCGGGGAGGTAAGAACCCAGATAACAACGTCACTAGGAAGGGGGGAACCTTCGGGGAGGTAAGAACCCAGATAACAACGTCACTAGGAAGGGTGGAACCTTCGGGGAGGTAAGAACCCAGATAACAACGTCACTAGGAAGGGGGGAACCTTCGGGGAGGTAAGAACCCAGATAACAACGTCACTAGGAAGGGTGGAACCTTCGGGGAGGTAAGAACCCAGATAACAACGTCACTAGGAAGGGGGGAACCTTCGGGGAGGTAAGAACCCAGATAACAACGTCACTAGGAAGGGTGGAACCTTCGGGGAGGTAAGAACCCAGATAACAACGTCACTAGGAAGGGGGGAACCTTCGGGGAGGTAAGAACCCAGATAACAACGTCACTAGGAAGGGGGGAACCTTTGGGGAGGTAAGAACCCAGATGTCAACGTCACTAGGAAGGGTGGAACCTTCGGGGAGGTAAGAACCCAGATAACAACATCACTAGGAAGGGGGGAACCTTCGGGGAGGTAAGAACCCAGATAACAACGTCACTAGGAAGGGGGGAACCTTTGGGGAGGTAAGAACCCAGATGTCAACGTCACTAGGAAGGGGGGAACCTTTGGGGAGGTAAGAACCCAGATGTCAACGTCACTAGGAAGGGGGGAACCTTTGGGGAGGTAAGAACCCAGATGTCAACGTCACTAGGAAGGGGGGAACCTTTGGGGAGGTAAGAACCCAGATGTCAACGTCACTAGGAAGGGGGGAACCTTTGGGGAGGTAAGAACCCAGATGTCAACGTCACTAGGAAGGGGGGAACCTTCGGGGAGGTAAGAACCCAGATAACAACGTCACTAGGAAGGGGGGAACCTTCGGGGAGGTAAGAACCCAGATAACAACGTCACTAGGAAGGGGGGAACCTTTGGGGAGGTAAGAACCCAGATGTCAATGTCACTAGGAAGGGGTGAACCTTTGGGGAGGTAAGAACCCAGATGTCAACGTCAGTAGGAAGGGGGGAACCTTCGGGGAGGTAAGAACCCAGATGTCAACATCAGTAGGAAGGAGGACCTTTGAGAAGGTCTCACATTCTGTATTATTGTTCTTTAAGGTATCTGTTAAGTTCCGTGTGGTGAATGGTACAGCTTTAGAACATCTAGACTTTGAGATGTTGTCGGACACTGTTGTTCTCCTGGATGGAATGAGAAGTAAGGCCCTGCCAATTATTATTCGGGAGGATCAGGTACCGGAGCAGAGGGAGACTTTCTATGTGGAGATTCTGGACCAGATCACAGGAGATGCAGTCCTTGGCACTAACACCTACAGTGTTGTGAATATCCTGCCCTCTGATGATCCCACAGGTGCATTTGGTAAGTGGAGTTTACTTCTGTTGATTGAAGTATGTAACCTTGTTTCATGCATATTCCAATATGAAGAATGCTTGTTTAAGTATCATGAGATTGCAAAAGATTCAAACATTTAACTTGATGGTTTTGAGCCCAGTTTGCTGGTTGCTGATCTTGAAGTATGTGTAATTGACTGAAGAGTTCCTTGACAACCATGTTAGTAAATAATGTGTCTATAGTTGAAGGCTTTGTGTAGTTTAGATTTGGTAGCATGACTAGTTAAGGTCAATCACTGATAACTGCAGAAGATTGAATGCCAATCTAGAATTGGCAAAATAATTCTTAGATAATTGCATTTCTGACTGTTAGTCTAAGCTATTACTCATTTTGTATTAACCTTTTGGGCTCTTAAAACCATTTTTTTAAGTTTTACTAAATTCAATTTGTTCTGCAGAATTTGCTGTTAATGAGATATCAGTAGAGGAACCAGAGAATGGAAGCCCGTTTGTGGTCAATATCACAGTGATCAGGACAGGGGGCAGCACGGGAGTGGTCAGTNTTTGCGTCCGCTTCACTACCGAGTAGTTCGGTCAATCACTGGTAAGATGTACAGGTGTGAAAACCACGTGATTATGTGGATATCCAATGCAATAACCTGAATTGAATTAATAATGTTTAATAAGATACAATGTATCATAAACAAAATTATAGCGGATACGTACGTATATACTGGGGCTATTCGTCTTTGATTAGAATTATGATAGNAAAGGTAGGTAACTCTGTCACCAGGGTAAGTTGAGGATCAGTGTGGACTGACAGGCCAGATACAAAGGTAGGTAACTCTGTCACCAGGGTAAGTTGAGGATCAGTGTGGACTGACAGGCCAGATACAAAGGTAGGTAACTCTGTCACCAGGGTAAGTTGAGGATCAGTGTGGACTGGCAGGCCAGATACAAAGGTAGGTAACTCTGTCACTGGGATAAGGATTTAAGGAGAATGGGAATAGTCAATGTTGACTGGTAGGCCAGATACAGTGTCTTAAGATACAATTTGAAATTACTTGTCATAAGTCAGTATTGATAGTAAAGTTATGTTATTTTACGCTTGACTTACAGATCAGCCACCTGATGCTGACATGGTGCCCACAGCCGGATCCATACACTTTGTCAGTAATGAGGCCAGCAGAAATATCAGAGTGTCTGTCCTACCTGATGATGTCCCTGAGGGACCTGAGGTAGGTATTGACCAGATGTCCCTGAGGGACCTGAGGTAGGCACTGACCTCATCGTTCTAGCGACTTTATACAAAGGTCAGGTATGAGAGTATGTTGAATTGATTTGAATGATGGGCCCAGAGTTGTTCATGTAAGAAACAAGGATGGACTATGTGGTCTGATCAAGCCTGGATATCGAGGCCTGTATTAATGTAAAGATAGAAATGTCCTCCTGTGGAAATGTTTATGTTTGGCAATGGTTTTGAAATTATATGTTCTATGTGATCGATAATCTGCATAATCTACAAGTAAGTATTCACATGGGAATATTTGCACATTAAATTACTCAACAATAAAAACATGAGCATTTCCACAGCATGAAAATTTCCACTTTTAAAATAACATTAACCTGCCTGGCTAAATTAGCTAAATACTGTTACTTTTAGAAATCGACTAAACTGAATGGTATCACAACACAGGAAAAGCATATACTAAAATATATTTACTGTTACATGTAAATGAAAGTGTGAAATAGAATTTCGTTCTGGCCTGATACATTTTATCCAGCCTGATCATCAGAGGACAGCCAGAATGAGCTGTATGACAAGGACCTCTGCCTTCAAGAGTGGTTATCGATCAAATGAGGCATCAAGTGTGTATCACTTGAATGCTAACCATCACTGCCATACTAAAACGCTATAGAGTACCTATTTATTATGATTTCAGGGTATAGTGTTCACACTTGTAAATGCTAACAATGATGGACGTATTGGGGATCGCAGTTCCTTAATTTTCACGATAGCGGCCAACGATAACCCCCATGGATCAGTACAGTTTGCCACCGGTAACTACAGCGTGGAGGAGAGAGAGACGAGTAGTGTCCAGTACATCAAACTGGCCAGGCTGTAAGTTGTGTAAATTCAGTAGAATACCATTGTTCACTATACCAGGAAACTTTCATTCAGTCGAATATTCACCCTTCAGTGGTAAAACTCGTGTTTGCCTTATTTTGTCCTTTACATGTAATGTATTGCTGTGTATTGATAGACACTAATGATAATTTTGCCGTTGCTTTGGAGGGAGAAAAAGATGAATGTTAATGATAATTTTGCCGTTGCTTTGGAGGGAGAAAAAGACGAATGTTAATGATAATTTTGCCGTTGCTTTGGAGGGAGAAAAAGACGAATGTTAATGATAATTTTGCCGTTGCTTTGGAGGGAGAAAAAGACGAATGTTAATGATAATTTTGCCGTTGCTTTGGAGGGAGATATAGGCGTATGTTAATGATAATTTTGCTGTGGCTTTGGAGGGAGAAAAAGATGAATGTTAATGATAGTTTTGCCGTTGCTTTGGAGGGAGAAAAAGACGAATGTTAATGATAATTTTACCGTTGCTTTGGAGGGAGAAAAAGACGAATGTTAATGATAATTTTTCTGTTGCTTTGGAGGGAGAAAAAGACGTATGTTTATGATAATTTTGCTGTTGCTTTGGATGGAGAAAAAGATGTATGTTAATGATAATTTTGCTGTTGCTTTGGAGGGAGAAAAAGACGTATGTTTATGATTNCAAAGTAAACCTACTTTCTCATAATAAAATTGTATGCATGGGATGCATGCACCAATTAAAAAAGAATTCAGAACGAATGTCATNCGTTGCTTTGGAGGGAGAAAAAGACGAATGTTAATGATAATTTTGCTGTTGCTTTGGAGGGAGAAAAAGACGTATGTTTATGATAATTTTGCTGTTGCTTTGGAGGGAGAAAAAGATGTATGTTAATGATAATTTTGCTGTTGCTTTGGAGGGAGAAAAAGATGTATGTTTATGATAATTTTGCTGTTGCTTTGGAGGGAGAAAAAGACGTAAGTTTATGATTATTTTGCTGTTGCTTTGGAGGGAGAAAAAGATGTATGTTAATGGTGAAAACTTCCTTGAGTACAGTGTATGCTTCATGCTGAAACTTTTAAGTTTTATGCATGTGACACACAGAATAGATATAGAAATTTCCTCAGATCTAGATAAAAAATAACAAAAATCTTTACAGCAGATTAATGTATAATGTCAACTTATATGTAGAACAGTTATTTTTGCTTTGATTAGTGTGAAGTATTTATACAAGATGTTCACTATGAAATTTGAAGTCCTAGTGATTAAAACTGGAAAAGTCAGCTCATGAAAGTAAGAATTTGCAAAACTTGTTTACTGTTATTAAGTTGTCGATGAAGTACCTAAGAGTGCTGTATTCCTTATATGAAATCCATTACACACACATACTGTGCACAGGTAGAGGATGAACAGCTGATAAACCAAAGCAATATATAACATACCGTACAAGAACCTTTCTAGGTTTTATGTTTCCTGTCCACAGGGGTGGTACATTCGGACTTCTGCGTGTTTACTACACCACAGAACAAATAAATGTTGTCGAGGAGGCCATGCTAGATGGGAGCTCCCTGCTGATGTACTTTGACTCCCCACAAGATGGGGGTCGGATAACCCCCGGGGGTAACATAGAAGTGGCGGACAAGAATGACCCACTGATGGTATGACACAGACCATTCATATGCCTAGCTTTCTCAAGAATACATAATAAAAAATAGAAAACATAGCTGGATAGATGAGCCTTTTGATCAACAGCTGCATCCTTGATATTCCAGGAGTAACGCTCACTTTCGCTCTCTGCACCCNATACAGTGGTTCGTTTATGAACATTTACACAATCGGTTCATCATTTGCACGAGTTAATCAATACATACTGGACAACTAGTACCTCGGACCGAACGGAGCCGGGGGATATAGTTTACGTAATTGAAGTTGTATATNTTCGCTCTCTGCACCCCTGGAATATGTCATAGCAAAATCGAAGACTTGGTGTTTGCCTCCATGTGGATAAGACTAGAAGACTGGTTTGATCCTTTGATGTACATCAAAAGAATTATGAAGTTAGATGTTGCTCCTCTGTAACCTTCAAAGGACTGGTATAAGCCTAGCAATTGGTCAGGATTTTTTTCCTGAGACCAATCAAATGTCTAGCTGCCTGCCTTAAATTTTGCTATGACAAATTCCAGGGTTGCAGAAAGTGTAATTGAGTATAACCCCTGAAGTACCGAGGATGATTCCAGGGTTGCAGAAAGTGTAAGTGAGTATAACCCTGGAGTACCGAGGATGATTCCAGGGTTGCAGTGTGTTNAAATAAGCATTATTTCCTTGGTCTTTATTTATTTCATTCGAAGTAAATATAAGTGTACTATCGACCTGTGTTATTATATCGTTTTGATTACGGAATTAGAGCAACAGTCGTTGCATAGCTATACCGACAACACGGCCAGCAACGACTTAATTTTCGGGGGCCAACAACCAGTTTTCGGGAACAAAGGCACAATCTTATTGAATTGTTATGTTCCTGAAAATTGGTTGTTGTTCCTGAAAACTGGTCCATGTCCCGATAACTTGGATATGGTTTTTAAATTTAAATGGTGCTCCGCTAATTTGGAGAGTGTTTCCGTAATTTGGGCCATGCAAATATGATTTAGATTGTACATCATTAAGTTAGCCACGCATAGATTATTTAGCTGGTACATCATTAAGTTGGGTCATGAATTTATGATTTAGACTGTGTTTTGTAAAATTCAATTCTAATTGAAGTTTACTGGTATAATAAGGTAGATTAAGTCGGAGAATTGATTTTTTCGTCCATAAGTGTTTCTCAGTGGTTCCGAGGATGATTCCAGGGTTGCAGTGTGTAAGGGAGTATAACCCCCGGAGTACCGAGGATGATTCCAGAGTTGCAATGTGTAAGTGAGTATAACCCCCGGAGAACCGAGGATGATTCCAGGGTTGCAGTGTGTAAGTGAGTATAACCCTGGAGTACCGAGGATGATTCCAGGGTTGCAATGTGTAAGTGAGTATAACCCCCGGAGTACCGAGGATGATTCCAGGGTTGCAATGTGTAAGTGAGTATAACCCCCTGGAGTACCGAGGATGATTCCAGGGTTGCAGTGTGTAAGTGAGTATAACCCCCGGAGTACTGAGGATGATTCCAGGGTTGCAGTGTGTAAGTGAGTATAACCCCCAGAGTACCGAGGATGCAACAGCTGTTTTATTGTTCTATTTGTCAAGGGAAGAGATTCAACAAAAATTCATTAGTATGAACAGGGTATATTAAGTAAGATATCCTCTTGTTTTAGGAATGTTTGTCCAGCTGCCTTAAGGTGGATGCTTGTCTCGCATTTGAGGTTAGGGTGGACGGCAACCAGAGTACCTGTGTGTGGTACATCACCCGCGCCGACCAGCCGCTTATAGCAAAGACAGGAGTCAAGTACTACAACAAAAACCAAGTCAAGGTCAGTCATAGCTTCTTAGTCGAGTGGACCACAAGTACTTTATTGATGTTACATTTCTATCTGAAGATAATTTAATACAGAACCACGTTACATATGAAAATCTCATGATTCCATACCAAAACTTTATACTTAGTTGACTCAGGATAGCTGTTGTCAATAGCAAACCTCTTCCATTGATTTTAATAGTTGAGGTCATGTCATATTATTAATTTGTTTTGGATAGCTTCTGTTGAGTGAGGTTATAAAAGAATTATTTGATTATAATGTAGATGCAGGAACTGCTGATGATGAGGGCTACTCCCGGTCAAGACTTTGGAGTTGTGACCAATGGTTATGTCCTTATCAATGACCAAGTAAACGAAGGAGCGATCCCATTGACCATTCTAGCAGACACCCTACCTGAACTTGGAGAAAAGTTCAGGGTCGTATTGACTCGTGTAGAGGTCATATCGGCAGGAGGGTCGGCCAAGTATCCCCCTTCTCTGGGGTCCCTAAACAAGGCAACTGTAAAGATCCTGAAGAATGACAATGCCTATGGAATATTTACAGTGTTCAGTGACAGTCCTGCTGGGTCAAACAGCGGTCACTATCTTCCGGTAGAGGAGAAACCTCAGTATGCTGTGGACCTCATTGTAGAGAGACAGGGTAATACTCTAGGGATGTAGAATAGTATATAAGCTTCCTAAACCAAAGGGCCAAGTGAGGTATTGTGAAAAAGTTTTTCTATGAAAAAATTCTCCTCATGAACCACTGGACAGAATTCTACCAAATTTGGTAGGAAATATTCTTAATAGGTAATTGAGATTTGAGATTCAGAACTAGGAAGGAAAAGTGGCTGGCCTCTGTTTGGGGACAAAAGGGGGGAAAGAGGGGTAAAATTTTGGGCATATACACCTCTTAGACAACAGCAAATGTGCAGCACCCTTAATACATGTTCTCCAAAGTTTGTAAAAGGAAAACAAAATCTGTAATAAACCTGGCCACAAGATTGCTTTGCTTTGCACCATATTGCACATTATTTGCATTTTAAAGCACCCCATTACACTCTGAAGAATGGAATGGCCTATCAGGATGGGTATTTTAATCATATTTGAAGTGGTTTCTATCAAATATTTAAAATAACTGATTGTCTGGATTAAAACACTGTATCAAAAACGATTATATTGAATTACTAAAGACCAACAATTTATTAATTGCATACTACCTGAGCTGGGACATGGAGGTTCATGGTAAAAAGTGAAAATATTTGAAACTGTTATGGATAATATCACCCAATAATTCTGAACTTGAATTTTCATCTTGTAGGAGGAAATGTTGGTGATGTGACTGTGGATTGGTTTATCAACATGACCGCTACCAATGCCCAGTATGGCGTGGATTACAGGGCAGACGGGGCCACCCTACAGTTTGCTGCGGGACAGACTAGGATATGTGAGTTTACATTAAATATTTCCTGTTATGTTAAACATACCACTAAGGCTGGCGTTTGTGCCTACTGCTGGTCATAAATTTAAGGTATCAAAAAACATCTCTAGATGTCGATGAAGAAATATGTTTGTTTACCTTACCCAGAAAACATGTTTGTTAAATAGAAGAAAAAAACCACTGGAAAAATATGTTCTATGCTTACAGTGATAAGTGGCACTTTGTTATATCCAAAAGTATAAACTGACAGACAGACTTAGTGGTTTAATTAAAACCTTGCAAAATTAGTGAAACGAAGAGATAAGAAAGAAAAGAAAAAGAAATATGATGACTAAAACTTCCTATTCCAGTAATTACTCTGACAGTACTTGAGGACACGGCACCAGAACTAAACGAGACATTGACAGTCCAGCTCCGTAATCCACAAGGTGGCGCCGATGTCAGTCCAGANACACATTTGATATTATTCAATACAGTACTTATTGATGTGTAATGCCACGGACTTAGATATAATTAAACATCTTTGTTCAATAATGAAAAGCATTTNTGTCCTTGGATTTGATACAACATCTGTTCTAGCCAAGGAAGGTAGTAGCTTTTATTGGTTGTTATATATGTTTTTGCTCTTGAGACTAAGATTATGCTGTGGTGCATGATCTGTTTTCTGTCTGTCATCTTTCAAATTACTTCTAGAGTACAACAAGACCTATGGTCATTTAATGTGCCTGCTGGTTTTTAGGTTGAAGAATATTCAAATGTTTTCAAATAAATGTCCATGTCATATGTTCATGCTCAGAGGGTTCAGAATTCAAACAACTTCTACGAGGTATAAGGCCATTATATTTGAGCGGTAGCTAATACTCCAGGAAAGAGCTATCAGGTAGGTTTGAGTACATGGACTTGACCGACTTCCAAGGTTACAGATGAAATATCAGACCTTATACATCAATAAAATGAACAAACTAGAAGACAGAGTTGCTAGCACCCTGCACCCCTTTAGGGGTTTATCAGGCAACTTAGAGTGAGTGTATATATATATAGAAAAATCTGATCTAACGACTGACTAGACGGACTAGAAAACAAGCTGCTTTCACCCTTAAAACAGCTAGTTTTGTAGTCGGTCGTTAGATCTTATTCCTATACTTACCGACTTCACATGCACATTAAATCTTCTTTATTAAATGTACACTAGACATTCTCAAACCAGGTGAGAGATACAGACCCTATGAACCTTTAACTTTTGTTCCACCAAGATAAATTTTGTAAATTTCAAAACTCTCCATGTTCACTGATTTCCTCGTAACGCTGTAGTTTTGCAACAATGTTGTCCTAAATGGAAACTTTTCTAATAAAGCAAATTGATAACAAGCTTCACATTTATGATTTAGTGTAAAAAAGGCCTTTTACATTTTAGGTGATTCTATCCCCATCAACGTGACCCGGTCTGTCTCCAGCTACGGTATTGTCCATGTTGACTGGCACATACAGGGTAAAGATGGACTGGACCCAGGCAAGGGGTTCACCGTCCACCAAGGCACATTTACATACCAACAGGTAAACGTTTGATGATCAGTTTAAACACTTCACTGAACTATGATGAGAACTATGATGAGTTGTGTAAATGTTTCCGAGGCTTGTGCCTGCTGTCCCATGCAGGCATGAGCACCATTTAGGTTGAATTGCGTTTAATTCTAATAAGAAAACCTATGCAGCTTTGTTATAACAAATTATATCAGTATATCAATTGTAGACAGATAAAGTCAAAGTTTACTGACATGTATGAAATTTCCTAGGATTTTTTGTGGCCGTTTAAGGCAAGTTCATTTTCTGATTTGACACTTCATTGGGTAAATATTTTATTTGTAACTAACAGGGGGATGTATCTAGAACCATCAACTTAGATGTGATGGCCGACGAGAAGCCAGAAACTAATGAAGAGTACCAGATCTTCCTCACCAATGTCAGGACTGAAGGTATCCTCTTTCTCTGATGTATTTTGAAATTTGAATTATGCTAAATATTTAAACCTTTACCTTTTATTATCAATAAAAATAAAAATAAATCTCATACAGGTATGTTTGTTTAATTAGGGCATATGTAATATTAATCCATCATTAACTGTCAGACGGTTAGTAGGAGAACATCAGGTACATCAGATAGCACTATAAAGTTCGCATCAGATAAGTGCAATCACAAGGAGGCAACTACACCAACATACCCTGTCTCCGGCCAAATGCCATAGAGGCACGCCCTTAAATGACCTTAGCTTTTAATAGGACGTTTAACAAAATAAAACCAAACCAAACCTCTATCAGATGTAATCAGGCAGGGCTAATAACTTACTAAAGTGTAATGTTATTTGTGTGTCAGGTGTTGGGCCGACTGGAGCGGCTAAGATTGACTCCCAGTTTAACGAGGCAGCCATCACTATACAGGGCAGTAACGAGCCCCACGGCGTCATCCAGTTTGCATCCACGTCCCTTAACGTCCGTGTTCAGGAGACCAACCACACCTTGAGTCTGCAGATTGACAGGAAATTTGGAGCAATAGGTATGATTAGTAAAACGTTTACATCATATGACAAAACTTCCATGCTTGGTCTTAATATTTGACTTGTGTGACAGAAAATTTAACATCGATGAACTGAAATCGCATTTAATCCATAATGTGATCATCCTTTAAACAAAGATTAATTCTAATCAATTGTTATCACATTATTAATTCAAGTGCTGCATACCATCAGGACGGGCACACTGTTTTAGAACTTATTGAAAAATGTTAATTTGAACTGTCAATATCTAATGGCATAGGCTGTTTTCAAAATGAAAACATTTGCATTGATAACTTATGACTTGCATTTTAAAATGTCAAATGAGGATTTGTGGTATTTGTAACCAAAGTCTAACTTAAATTGTGATGAAAAATTGCAAAAAAATGTTGCCGAGCAATTGTTCATTTGTGGGAGAAGGGAGGTAACCCAATTTTAGAAACATATTTTTTGACCAATTTTGTTGTGGGCTGATAATAATCAGATCTTTAACAAATATTTGCTTTTATTTCAAACCAACAGGAATTGTACGAGTGTCATACGAGATTACGGAAGGATCGGTGAGCCCCACCACTGCAGAGCTAGTCGAAGCCACCGTCAACGAGGACTTCGTTCCCATCAAGGGATATGTAGATATCGCCGATGGGGCTTCAGATGCAGCAATAAAAGTGCAGATCAAGGATGATGATATACCTGAGGTTGACGAGGTTTTCAAGGTGTCCCTGACAGGTGTAGCTCTTATGGACACGGATAACATCGCCATCCGTCCCAAGCTCGGTAATAAACTTATAGCAAATGGTATTTCTTTATGATTTAACTTATATTTTGTCTGTTCAGAACAAAGAGTTCAGGTCATTTTGAATTGGGGGGAAAGGAAGTTGTCCATTGTGTTGTAAATTCAAATCAATTTTTATTTAATATTGTTATTATGTGAAATGTTTTGATACTGTTTGTTTCATTTATTTTGCCAACAATTAACTACTTGCCAGATTTGTCAAAGTATTTTAGGTTAAACTCCCTTGTTAAAGCTTAAAATATTCCAGCCAGTATTTTTCATGATGAACACAACTTGATTTTCATTTTTAATGCACAACCAACCAGACGTAGGAAAAATTGATTAATCCCAACATTGATTTAATCTGCAAATCTAGTATTTCAGAAACTATTATTTGAAATAGTATGTTTCTTTTTGCTGCATATTGCCACTGTGAAGACTCCTGTGCAAACTGTGGTATAACTATAGCCCAGACATTGGTTTATTTTGATAATGTGATAAGTACCAATGTGGCAACGCTTCAGGATATCAGGGCTAATTAAGATATTTTGTTTTTGAAGCTGGTCTTGGAACTGTGGCACAGGTGATCATTGATGCCAATGATGGCACCAAAGGCATCATCAAGTTCTCAGCGGACTCCCTAGAGTATGTATAGTTTTCCTTGTGATAAAAACAGTGTTTCATTTGTAAAACTCCAACAGATAAGTAAGTGGGACATATTGCTGTATAGCCCAAAGTATCCTAGTGTTATTCTATCACAATTTTATGTTTATAAACCATTTAGCTGATATAAACTTTGATGGTTTGGGTTAATTTCCTGGTTACCCAGAAGTGTGCATTTGATGGTTTAGTCAATATATTAATTTCTTGTATTAAAAACGAACTTTGCATTGTAAAATACAAATTTTATATGACGATCATCGAATATCTTTGTCATATAAAGATTTAAATGATTTTGGTTTTGATTTGTTTTTGTTGTAGTGTAACTGTCGATGAAATAACGAAAAATATTTCGCTGACTGTGTTCCGAGACAAGGGGACATTTGGGGACGTGTCAGTGTTTTATTATGCTCAGAGTATTGTAGAGGGCACCACCCAGGGGACTGACTACAGAATCGTCCCAAAGGTAGGCACTGATAATAAAGATGTGTTGGATGTATATTCTCTTATTCAGAAATATATTATGGCATCAGGGTAACCAAACCTAAATATTTTCACCAAACCTTTTTTGGAATGTGTTACTTTTGCATGTGGATGATATATTTCATTGTGCTGGTAAATTCACTCATATCACAACAATTTGGTTTACGAAATTTTGGTCATTTATGTTCAAAAGAAAAGGTCAATTTCTAGAAAAGATTTGCTTGATACAACTTTGAACTCATAAACTGAACATTGTTATGTTGCCAAAGTTTATCTCAGTCTTGTTAATTCTATAAATCAAAAAAATAAAAATATGGTGCAATTTTCAAATCAGTAACTTTTGAAGGATAATGAAATAGTGTACTGTAGAAATGCTTTAAATTCAGTCATTGATTTTGCAGTGATGGGAAATTCTGAAAATAACTGACAATACCATCAAGAAAAGTTTTATAATTCATATATAGTACAGTCGTTAAATTTACATTTGATTTTATAGCAGGCCTTTAAACACACTGTATGTTGTCCTGTTTCACCGTGTACTATTTTATACTCACATAGATTGTAACAGAAACGCCACATTTGGCCCAGGTAACCGTGATCCCTGTGGTAAAGGTGGTTACAACTCCTATAGTAACCTAAGCTAGTGGTATAGATGGCTATGACCCTTGAGTTACAGCCTCTGTAGTTACCTTGGGTCTGTAGTAACCTTGGTTACAGCCTCTGTAGTAACCATAGTTGCGGCCTCTGTAGTTACCTTGGGTCTGTACTAACCTTGGTTACAGCCTCTGTGGTAACCATAATTGCGGCCTCTGTACTTACCTTGGGTCTGTAGTAACCTTGGTTTCAGCCTCTGTAGTAACCATAGTTGCGGCCTCTGTAGTTACCTTGGGTCTGTAGTAACCTTAGTTACAGCCTCTGTAGTTACCTTGGGTCTGTAGTAACCTTGGTTACAGCCTCTGTGGTAACCATAGTTGCGGCCTCTGTACTTACCTTGGGTCTGTAGTAACCCTGGTTACAGCCACTGTAGTTACCTTGGGTCTGTAGTAACCTTGGTTACAGCCTCTGTGGTAACCATAATTGCGGCCTCTGTATGTACTTACCTTGGGTCTGCAGTAACCTTGGTTACGACCTCTGTAGTAATGGTGGTTTGGGGTTGTAGATGCATGTTGGATCTTTTGTTGTTTCACAAACTTTATTTTTATTTGAATCCAGGATATATGTATCGGTGAAGGAAACACTACTTCAGGTAGGACTTCATGGTGTGACATTTGTAGTCAGAAATATCATCAGTTGTAATTTTTCCGACTCATATTGAATTATTAAATTCAATATTTCAAGTTTATTGGAAAAGCCACATACAGCGAATGAAGATTAAAGCTATGAATGTGTTCGTTGATATAGTCAACCTCCTCTGAAGACCAAGAAAAATAATGAATTTAAAAAAAAGTTCTTTACTCAACATTTCGACACTATTATAATGTAAAGATAAATTGTTATGTGAAATCATTGACACAATTGCTCTGGCGATACAGGGATGGTGGCAATTCTGACTATCTTTTTATTCTCATCTGAATGACTGTATTAAGTAGTAATTTCATCTCTGTTTCTTTTGCAATTTCTTATTTTCATCAAAATGAAACTTCCTTTGCTGCTTTATTAAAAATATATTTCATTAATTTTTTTATATTTAAGAAGGTTTGTCTCGCTAAACAAATATGATTTATTAAGATTGTACAGACAACATAAGACAATTTCAAAAATGTTTAGTTAAAAATGACCTTATCAAATATGTAATTTGTACCATTCAAAGTGCTATTCTTGACTTTTGAAAACTGAGCTTCAGGTGCTAAGAAATCGATTATAGCTAACTTCATGCTTTAAAAAGGTAATTTGAGATATACTTATTTGATGTAAGTTTGTCGCAAGACTTTTGTAACTGATTCATCTTTTAATAAAAGTTAACCAGGATTCACAATAATAGTATCATATGGTTAGAGAAGAAAACATTACGGTAGATCTGACCGTCAGTGTGTGTTCTGTACAGGAGCTGTTCTTCGCCAACGGGGAGTCTAACAAGATGATCATCATAGAGATACTCAACGATGACATACCAGAACCTGACGAGGTGTTTGAGGTGATATTGTCTAACCCGACCAACGGTCTACAGATGGGCAACCAGAGTAGAGGTAATATAATTAGCTGTAAAATGAAGTATGAATTAATTTCTTTGAGATATGTACACAATGTCATATAATTAAGATGATGTCCTAATATTGTAGAAGGGCTATCATACAGTACTAGTTTCACTGCTAATAATTATTGGATAAAAATAGGCAATATAAAATGTATATTTTGCATTTACCAAAAACTTACAAGAACCACAGATGTATTTATTGTTATGTCCTCGTAAAGTCTTACATTGACCGATGATGGGGAAATCAGTGAATGTATATACAAAGAATACCTTATGTCCCAAGGCAGTGATTTCTCAGTAAGAATTATTGTGTTGATANTTTTTTTTTTTTTGGGGGGGGGGGGGGGGGGGGGATTTAGATTAAATAAATACATGTTTTGTTGTTCTTCCACTTTAAAAAACCATTTCATACCTAAATGCCTATTTTTTCAATCAATGTACTTGTTTCTGAATCTTGTAATTTTAACATTTTTAAATAAAATTAATGTATGCATTAACTATTTTTCATATCTCACCAGATGATAAATTTGGGTAAAAGGTTCATTAAAAAATCTTAATTTGTCACTATAGCCACTGTGACGATCTTGGGCAATGACGGTTCCAGTGGAATCGTGTCGTTTGACACAGACGCCAGTATGACGATTGAAGAGGCAGGGGGAGTTAACCCTTCTGTCAGCGTCGCCAGACTCAAGGTTGTCAGAGGGCCGGGTGTGTATGGTGTGGTCAATGTGCCGTTTGAAATCATACCTGAGTTTTCTGATAACAGCAACGACTTATCTCCTGTGAAGGGGTATGCCACGTTTCAAGACAAACAGGTACATACACTTATTTCATATTTTTACTTTCTTGTGTAATTATCCGCTATAAATGGTTATTATACATTGTATGGTTTATATGTACAGTATTGTCGTGGATTCGGTGTGTGTTATTCACACACCGTCACAACAAGTAGTTGTAAATGCTCTCGGCTCCTGAAATCAAAGACAAGGTGGAGGAAAATCACTCACGTGTTGTTCGTTCGGGTTCAAGATGTATAAGAGACCACGCCGAGATGTCACATCCAGGTTGTCGGCGCGGTTACCGGTCTAAGGGAGATAATTCTAACCAAAATTCACCACACTCTTCCCCGTTTTATGAAGGCCCCCTCTTGGGGTTGGAAGCTGCTGAGCAGGAATCATGAGGTGGTCTTTCTTGAAGTAGCAGATGCTGGAGATGATTGTTCTTTTGTGGATTTGGACAAGGTCGGGTCACCCCTTAAGCATAGGGGACCCTTAGCAGGAACACAGTTTCACCGTGCCCAGAAGGGGAAGTTCGGGCCCATACTTCATAGATCTAATTCTGTTGATGGGCTTAACTTTAAAGTGCCCTCCTCCAAGGTACAGGACCATTAAAGATATAAACTTTGTGGTTGGCATAGGCATACTGTGCCCTTGCCAGGTACTCAGACATGTAAACGTATTGGAATATGTCTGATGGTGTCAAAAGTGGAAGAATGCCCTCCACTTGTATACTGACTGTGACAGAGAGCTGATAACACAATCCTACCCCTGAGCAGATAACCGCTAAAGGGGCCGATCCCTCACAGTTTCCGGAGACGGTTGAGCAGAAAACCACTTTGTCTCTAAAGGCCCGGAGGCTGCCTGAGAGGCAGAGAACCGTCTCTTTCTGAACCTCCGTATTGATAGCTGACTTAAATAAAGCTTTTGATTAAAAGCTGTCTCCCAGCTGAACGATGTGATCCCATTTACCTGGGTCACAAAAATACTAAGGGATTTTTACTGTCCTTGCTCTTATTACTAAACCTAAGAACACAGCAGTGCCGTGTAATTTATCAACTATGAAAGTATTGCCTAGTCACCCCCACACCAGTCTAGTCAACTTTTGGGGTGCTCTAGTATACCAAGCTGTGCCGGTGAGTACCCCACTTGAGTGGGTTACAGCGCTATCGCTATCAGATTGCTCCGCGACAGTTGAGCGACCGTGGCCAGGCTTCTGTAATGGCAGCCCCGTCCTTGGTAGGGTTTCCCGCCATAGCCTCGAACAGTTCCCTGGCCCCTGCGAACGCGTTCTTTCGCATTTGATAAACAGTATTCAACTACCAGCGGCTCAGAAGATACAACGATTTCGACATGTATTTTAAGTCTCTTTTTCCAGTTTGATTCCGGTAGACGGGATAAGAAACGGTCATAGTTACCGATTACACCATCATTGACGAAATGGATCTGGAGGACACGCACTGTGTTTCCATACTTGTTCTGTTGTCCTCCCTGGGCTAACAAAACCACCGCATGTAACTCCTGGTCGTCCATTTCTCCCTTGACATTATCTGATGACGTCACATTTGGTTTGAAACATTTGATGATGGAGGGAACACAAGTTTCCGTTACCTCTTCCCCGTCAAATGGAAATGAGGCAGATTTTGGTGTTACCGCCTCATCTCCTTCAATTTTGAGCCCCATTGTTTGTGGTACATGTATATGTTTATTTTGTTGAGGACCAGGAGTATGGGCCTTGTATGTCAGTGGTACCATACTGTCCACGTCCTCCTCAAACCGTTCACAGTTAGCTCCCGCGGGGTGACTGTTCAGTGGCTCTTCCGAGACCATCACTGGCCTCTGGTTCTCTCTGGGAACTTCATCAATCTCATTATAGACAGGAGCTTCCCTGGGAAGTTGAGGGATGGCCTCTATTGGCTCTGTAACCCTGTTGTCCCCGTAGGTACTCTGGCCTTTCCCAGGAACCATGTCTGCTGTATAACAGCTCCGGGCTTCTCTGTGGAGATGGGATATCACTTCTATATGTTCTTTCTCTCCAAATTTCTGTCCTTCTGTCATTATGACGGACTTGGCAGTGTTATTCATCACTCTCATTATGGGTTGTTGGGTACCGGGAGGCACTACCGAACCGGCAATCATGACTCCCCCGGGATGTTGTATGGGTCGAATCGTGGCCGTACTCCCATAAGGTCGAGCCCAGTCCACCGGACAGTGTCCTGTAGTGTTTGGCGATATGGTTACATTTTGGGCCACCTTGACAGTGGACGATGTCCTCTGCTCCTCTAACCTCGGTGTAATAGGTATTGCCTGATTACCAATGAACAGGACGCCCGCATCTAGGTCGATGACACAGTTGTTCCGAGACAGGAAATCCACCCCCAGCAACATGTCGTCCATAATGGGGGCCTCACATACGGTCCAGGGTACCTCAGTGTTCCCTATTCCGATATTTAGGTCTTTTATTTCCCACACTATCTCCACATTGCCAGTAAAACCCCGGAGCCTCACTCGTTTTCCAAGCACCAGTGGTCCCTCAAGCTTGTCTACCAGCTCCTGCTTAATCAGTGTCATATTTGCTGCTGTATCCACGACAGCTTGAATAGAAGTTCCATTCAAAGTGAGTGGTATGGTGATGCTACTGCCATCTGAGACCGCCAGCTTCACCTCCCTCAAAGGTTGGACCTCCTTTCTAGGCGTGGGTGATGGAGACCTTGATCTCTCTGCCTGGTTATTCCGTCCTTTGTCGTTACCCCAACTTGCGGGACCGTTGCTCCCTCTATATGGTTCCGGGGACGCAGATGGAGATCTTTGACGGTACGCCTGGGTATTCCGTCCTCGGTCGTTACCCCAACTGGCGGGGCTGTTGTTGCCTCTCCCTGGTTCCCATGGGCCCCTGCCTGGTTGATTTTGACCTCGGCCTTGTGACCCTGTGCCAGGTGAGTCCCCCTGATATCTGGGTGACCAGTTACGGTTCCGCGAAGGACCTTGTTCAGCGTATGGTGACCTGTCGCGGGGTCTACCGTCGTACCTATTACGTCCGTTGTCCTGGGGTGGACGAGGGTACTGGGGCCTATCGCGATAATCTGATGAGGGATAAGGGACCGGTGTCCTATCACGATAATCCGGAGATCGGTTTCCCCCATAGTTTTGAGGGAACCCTCGGTCGCGTTCCGGAGATCGGTAGTCACCCCAAGGTGGAGGAGAAGACGGACGGGCAGATACGCCGCCCGCACTAAGCCGGGCCAGGTATTTCTTTAGCTCCTGTAGCTCATCTTTTGAGAACTGTACAGGGGCTTCCTCTACTTTATCATCCCCCGACTTAGTGCCCTCCGCAAACTCTACCTGCCTACTAGGGTAGTGCGGCGCGCGAGAACCAAACAAAGCACGCTGATTGGCCACGGAGGCCTTTATGTATTTCAGAGCTTTGTGAACCGTCTTGGGATTCTTCTCCATGGCTCTCTGTGCTGCCATCTTCTCGCGACAGCCTTTGAGGAATGCCTCCGTAGCGATCTGGTTCCTGGTGGTGGTGTCTGCGTGAGCAAAGCCATCCCCCGTAATGGTTTGAATCCGCTGAGCAAATTCTGCCAAACTCTCACTCTCCTCTTGTCTAGTGAAGTTTAGCTCCCTGCGGGCCACTACTGGAACGTCCTTGTCGCTAAACCGTTCCTTCATCTTTTTCTTGAGTTTTGCGAACCCAAGAGTTCGTGGGAGCTTATCTGCGTACTCCAACGCATCACCCACCAGACAATCGAAAAACCGTTGTTTGGTCTTACGGTCCGACCATCTACTGTCTTCTATTATCCTGGTGAATTTAAGAGCGAATGGCTCCCAGCGCTCTTTACCCGAGTAAGTGGGCATCTTATGTCGCTGAGGACTCCTACTCCTTTGACGATGCCTCTGGTAGTCGTCGGAGGAGTCCCCTGAATCTGTATTGCTGTCCCCCTCTCCCTCACTGGAGAAATCGGGGTCCGATTCGTCGCTCTCTGACGAATCATCACGTCTGCGCCTTGTAGGCGCACGGCGCGTGCCTTGTGGTTGGCGCACATGTCGCTCACCGAGGACGCGATGCGTGCGCCTTGCAGGACGTTCGTTGTCCAACCTGTCGCGGGTCCGTCTATTTCTATTCTCCTCGCGGGTAGCACGCGCCGATGTGGTTACGCCACAATTTGTGCTGGTTATGGGCACCCTCGCGTAAGCACCGGCAACGGCCGAAGGCAGACCATGAGCAGGAATAGTATGTTGTTCTATCTTAACCTGATTTTGCCCTAACTGAGTGTCTATGTGCCCCAACAGGGGATAGTTACTTATCCCGCAATTGGTGTATGGCAGCCTATTGCCTGGGGGTATGTTACCCCCCCTATGCTGAAAAGCTGGCTGTGAAGGGTCATATCCCCCAGGATAATTCCCCCCTCCCTGCTTGCGAGGCGTCAAACTAGGCTTGACATCTTCCAACAGGAAGTCAGCCCCCTTTTCATTGTCTGATGATAGGCATGACAAGGGCAGACTCATTTCCCCTTCAACTTTTGGGGCCGATTCCAGCTTAAACCCCCACTTAGAAGCAATGGGTGCAATGGGTGCATTGGCACCTCCAGCTGTCCATGTTGATACATGGGCACCCTGATCTTGACCCCTTACATACCTTCCATCCTTCGGGATAGCTTGTAAAATAGGGTCAAACTCTGACTCCTTCTGTTTAGGAATCATTGTCTGCGAGTTCGAGTATGGTGGCACGGAGGTTGAGGTAGCATGAGTGGTACCCCTATCCCCCCAGGGTGACCAGCTATTTATTTGTGGCCTCTGGCTGACATACTGACCACCACTAGGTGTAGTCAGTAGCATAGTGCCGGGAGTAGAGCTCTTTTTCGGAGGCGAGGCAGCACGAGCCGCCAGACTCTCTGATTTTCTAAGAGCCTCCGTCTCCAATGTTACCATTAACTCCCTGAATTGGACCCGCAGTTCCTTAACTTCCTGCTTTATGTCCATAACCTCGTCCTCCTGTCTGTCTAGCCTATCTGCCCGTGATGAGGTCGACCGGGTTGGTGATTGCGCCTCTACAGGGGCAGTGACCATTATGCCCGTGATGACCCCATCACTTAGCCATTTCTGCCACTTCTCAATGCCCACTCTGGAAACAGTCACCAGTTTCTGCAGAGTGAGCCCCTCATCATCTCTTATACTCAAGATTTTCTGTGCCGTCGCGGGGCCTAAACCCTCCAACGTGCACAGCTCATCTTCTGTAGCTGTCCGTATATTTATGACAGCCATGACAAAATATAAAGTTCCAAGAAAGAAATAAGTCAACACACTTAATTAAACAATTACACAATTATGTACAGGGACTTATATCAACAGTGCTATAGTAGACACGTGCCACCGTCCCGTACAAAATTCCAACGATTACAACTACGATTTACAGTTTACAAAATAATTTCTAATTCCTAAAATAACTAATTTCTAACCTAATGTAATAATAACCTAACTAAACATATAATAATTTCCTTACAATATAAAAATAATATCCTATACTAACGATAACTCATGTCTCGCCTGTCATATGTATTCCGCCAATATGGGCGGCCCACTACACAGGCGAATGAAGTTCCGTGAAAACCTAACAAGTAAACTAAATTAAATTAAATATAAATTTCAGAACGGCAGTGAAAACACCGCCGACTCTGAATTACCCCTAATAAATAATTAAATAAACAATAATAAACTGCTAGAACTGTCCCAAAATCTCTCACTCGTAATTCGCGCACTGGTCAACAAAATGGCCAGCGCACGTGTGAGCGAGAGGGGACCAGCAAGGTAGAAAAAATATATGGAAAAAAATGTCAAAATAGTGCGAATAGCGTGAGTTCTTTCTCACTTATGACACCAATTGTCGTGAATTCGGTGTGTGCTATTCACACACCGTCACAACAAGTAGTTGTAAATGCTCTCGGCTCCTGAAATCAAAGACAAGGTGGAGGAAAATCACTCACGCGTTGTTCGTTCGGGTTCAAGATGTATAAGAGACCACGCCGAGATGTCACATCCAGGTTGTCGGCGCGGTTACCGGTCTAAGGGAGATAACTCTAACCAAAATTCACCACAGTATCACAACCACATTGCAAGATTTAAATTGATATAATTTACATATTTTAATCCAAGAGAAATCAACTGTTTGAATTAATTGGTTTTTAAATATCTCCATTTTAATTACAAAACAGAGAACGTTCACCAACTGTAAGCTATAGATTTTTTTTCTTACCAGAATGAAATGAAGTGAAAGGATCCATAATTTAGCTATTTCATGATATGTGATTCATTTGATCGCTACTTAGACGATAGCCTGTGTATTTTTGTCCCCTCCCCTGTCGACTGCCATGTCTTTTTTACACTCGTACTGTTTGGTTACTTAGAGTGCTGTGTACATAGAGTTGATGGCCCTAGATGACAGTGAGCCAGAACAGGTGGAACGGTTTACAGTGAAGCTGAAGGAGGCGGACAATAACGCTGTACTGGGTCGGTATCAGGAGAGAATGGTCATCATCAACCCTAATGACTCGCCCAATGGTCTACTGCAGCTGTATGTCAGAGGAACCAGGTAATCAAAAATGTTACCATTTTCAGTGTTCAAAACTATGGATTCTTATGATTTGATAAAAAGGTAAACGAAAGAAATCATAAGATTTAATCTTTCTGATCTCGCATTTAAAAAAGGGAATATTTTTCTATCACAAAAAGGTTTCGTTTGTCTGGTTTCAGGAACAGCACTGTTTTTATGGATGAGAACATAGGTATTCTGTACATAGACGTGGAGAGGACCCAGGGGGCTGATGGTATTGTAATGGTGGACGTTACCACCCGTCCTGACACAGCAGTCGTGATCTCCGACCTCGTCTCCGTAACACTTGCTCCCTACCAGGCACTGCCCACAACCCAGGTCAATTCCTGGTATACTTACATGGTTAATGGAACACATTATGTGCTGATGTTGACCAACTTCCGGGTTGGGGAACTGACCACCACTATTGGCAGTAACGGGTCTGCAGTGCCTGTTAATGTTGACCGCCTCTATCAGACCACCCTGTTCAAGTGGAGGGGTCAGCTCATACCCATACAGGTAAGGTGGTTTTAAAAGCTATGTTGAACAAGTAAACTATTTAGTACAGTCAAATCTCTATTAAAATACCACACAAGGAAATGTTTAGAAGTGGTCATAGAGAGATTTTGGTCTCTTAAAGGGACAATTTAGTGAAGTAAGTTTTTTTGATTACCTAAAAATCAAGTCAATACTGAAAATATATATCTCCTAACGAAAGTTTACGTATTTGATAATGACCTGACCTAAAGCCAATGTCCAGTGTGGTCAGTTTCATCTTTTGGGAAAGCCGGTGATAAAAATAGCTATGAGGAAAATAGCGCAATATCCTGGCCTTTCAGTGAGAAGTAAACATGTACAGCACTACGCTGTCGACCGACAACAGTGTCAGTTGTGTCTGAGTTCACACATAACACATTCTTGAATTTACACAAAACATAGCAAGTAAGAATTATAGGTATCATAATATATACCTCTAATCTGATCTGTTCACATTTTGATTTGAGTAAGAACGAACAGGTTCAATTAAGAGAGGGTGCCGCAGGGAGAATTTCAAACCGCAGAAACTACGATATCAATAGGTTTAGACGTAAAATAGGTCACTCATTTATAACGATGTTTGAGATGCTGTTGGAAGATGATTTTGATTCAAAATAGATGCATTTACTTGTATGCAGAGAGGCTATGCAAAATAAGTGAGAAGTTACCTTCTCTCCTCGGCTGGAAAGACCTTTTTGTTAGGTAGAAATTCACCGACAGCTGCCGCTAAAACGTACGGCTGTATAGTTAAGGATTTCTCCATTACTGATTAAAAATGCCAAGAAAACGTTGTCTCTTGTCAATCTCTCGACATGAATTGTTTATAAGGAGTATCAAACTATATAATCATGAAGAGTTTTGTGACAAGGTTATAAGAAAAAACTTATTTCACTAAATTGTCCCTTTAATGTAGAGTAAGCTTTATGGTGATGATAAAATGATGGTCTCGTAAGAGAGAGGATTACTTAATAGTGGTGGTCTCTCAAGCAGGTTTAACTACTGAATATTGTATCCATCAGTATGTGGGGAATCATTGGTTTTGCTTTATAATTGATTTTATAAGCCTCCAAAAATATATCGGCCTACCTGGGTATAAATCTGATGGAAAATTGATGTAACCTTTCTATTTTGGAGAATATTCTGACACAGAGTTTTGTAAATTAATTGATATGTAACCACTCAAATCATATATTTATATTTTTGCCTAAAAGGTTTGCTCAATAGCAAAGAAACTAATCGAGTTTAGGGGAAAAGTTGAAAATAAGGAATTACTTATGAGCTCATGATCAGTGGCAAGTAAAGAACAGTGCATGTGGACTGTGGGTTATCTGACTTTGTGTTATTGGTTCCAACTCTCTGAACTCTTCACTTTTCTAGACCTTAGAGACAGATGCTGCCACAGCTGCCACCGTCTTCTCTGTCAGTGGTGTGCATTACATGGTTGTGGCCAACCTTGGCAACATTCGGAGGCACCAGACCACTTCAAGAATCTACAAAATCAACGCTGACGGCAGCCTCTTTGTGGTAAGTCTGAATTATGTGGTATGTTCACCGGTATCAATTCAACTGCAACATTAGCTTTTGTCTTCGTTGGTCCTTTTTGTATTCAATTTAGTTTCATATTTAATATATTATCTTATTTAATTTCAGTTACAAGATCTTGTGACCGAGGGAGCCATGGACGTCAAATTTTTCTCCTACAGTAACCAGCATTACTTGGTGTTCGCTAACTCGATAGACAACAACGGACTCACTATTGTAGATGTGGATGTGTTTAAGTGGGAGGAGAGCACCAAGATGTTTACGGCATCACCGTGGCAGTCCCTGAGTAACCTAGGCGCCCACGCTGTCGAGGTTTTTGAGATGGAGGGGGTCATGTACATGGCAGTGGCCAACAACTACGACTCGGAGCGTAAAACCTACATTGTTGAGTAAGTCTGGGTTGGCTTAGTGGTTTTAATAACATGTTTCATAGTGATAATCTGATGTAGCAATCTGATGTAATATTATGTTTATGAAAAATGTTCATAAAACTATTTAAAATTGTATGTTCCAATAAAAGGTTTACTTTCATGAGAATATGTTTTGCCCTATAAAGAAATATTACACTCTAAATTGTATTTTTGAAAACTAAACCCAGGAAATACGGCATGTACATCCTTTGCTTTACAGTTCCATTGTGTACAAGTTTGGAACGGATGGGATGTTTGCGGAACATCAGCGGATGAGGACCGAGGGGGCTGTGGATGTTGCGTACTTGGCTGTGCGATCACTACACCTGTTGGTGTTCGGTAACAACCGTGGTGACGCCATCAGCAGTCCGCAGACATCCACAGTGTATAGGTGGGACTCTACTGCCCAGAGGTTCTTCAGGGACGCAGACCTACAGACCTACAGGGTGGAGAGCCTCACCATGTTCCTCGGAGCCGATGATATGGGTGGGTAGATATTAACACAATCTTATCATTGAAAAGAAAACAAGAGAAAAGAAAGCTCGGTTTAATAAAAAAACATAAGAAACAATGTATGCAAAGATAATAGAGCATGCTTTTTTTTAGCAAAGAAGTAATATTTATTTCTATGAATCAGATTTATTTAATGTTCTTGTGTTAAGTATTGCACTTGATTGAAAAAGGACTTATGAGAATGGTTACCATAGGTGTGATCTGAAGGAATTGTCTGATCACTGAAACAGTGAGATGGTTACCTGTCACACATGGTTAAGGATGTTACTACTCATGTATTACTTGTTACAGGGTACCTACTAGTAGCCAATGGTATCGGTAACTCAGAGATGTTTTCATGGGATGTTCAAGACCAGGAGTTTGTTTCCGTGTGGACAGGCCCACCGACCTTGAGTTTTCATCCCTGGATCATCCCCCAGACAACAGGGGCCCTCACTCTCATGATGGTCGCTGATAAAGATCCCCAGGCTGCGTCCACGATCTACCAGTTCATCAAGGTTAAGGACAGTGACTTCGCTCCCAGGTAACTCATAGCAACCAAGAAATTTGTCAAACTATGTATGGAAGGGTAATTGTGATATTAGATTAGAGGTATCGAAGAGAAGTTTGAAAAAAGTTGTTTTCCCATAATATATATACACTTACAGAGAGATCCAATTTCTAAATACAGCGAAACTCCACAAATTCCCCCGAAAACAGGATGGTATCCCGTAATAATAAAACCTGGAGCCCTGGAGACTGATAAATGTTTCACCGGATAACCCGTACCTCTAAATACAGTTAAAATCAAAGTGTACAGTAAAATAAGTTTATGATGAACCTGATATAAGAACAATTCCTTATATGCATAATTTATATGTTGTTGTTTTAGAAAAAAAATCCATGCCAGAAAACTGTGTTTATCAGCTGGAATTCTCAATATTTGTAGTACATCATCAAGTTTACGAGAATCCCCTGAGCAGTTTCCAAAATGGAAAGGTTCCTTTTATGCAATGTCCTATTTGGTGTTGTAGAACGGTGACGATGACCTTTGAACCTGGACATCGCCTGTTACAGACTTCTGTCGTCATCCTACAGGACACGATTCCGGAGGACACAGAAACATTCTTTGTCTCTCTTACCAACCCATCAGGGGGCGCTGACATTGGCCCACAAAACACTATCACCATCAACATTCTCTCCAATGATAATGCTCACGGCATCATCGAGATAGCAGCGGTATAATTTTGATTGCTATTTGTTTTTTGAAGAAGAAATTTGCTATTTAGTTTTTTGAAGAAGAATTTATTTTCAAGTTTAAAAAAAAAAATGTTTATGTTGTAATGACAATATTAACATGTTTGAATCTTGGGGATGATAAGAAATTGATATTTGTATTCCAATTTCCAACAATTTGATTTAAGAACACTTGAAGCCTGCAACATTTAAACTCAGGCAGATGCATATGAGTAGCATTTATCTTTAAAATTATCAATTGTCCGCATCAAATTTAATGTAGTAGGTTGTATGTGGAAAAGGGGCATTTGGAGAAATATCTTTTGGAAATTCCCATTGTTAAAAAAAAAGAGGAAAAGACTAATATTGATTGTGTTATTTTCCTAGGACTCCTTAGAGGTTAGAGTGCAGGAGGAGGATGGGCGGGACAATGTCATCCCAGTCAACGTGATCAGGAAACACGGCTACTTCGGCCGTGTGGTGGTCAAGTGGGTGGCGTCTGGTGACCAGAACGGCCTGAGTGACATCACACCGCTACAAGGACAGGTAACTCCATGTTAAAATTAATACTTTCTTGGTAATTCTCGTTGCCTTTTTTTGTGAAGAAACGTATTGAGAGATAATTGAAAGAATCGTGTATATCTTTGGCTTTATCTAGTTGAAGCAAAGGCATTAGTAGTGTTTCGTAAGTGACAGCACAGTTGTACATATCTTTTTCCTTGCCATTCCTTCCTAAGATTAATGCAGCTGATTAAACCTACAGAATGCAGGAAAAGCAGTTTACCCATTATAAACAAAAATTACTCTTCCCCCCACCCCCCATAAACATTTACCTAACAATGTGTCTGTACGTTTGCACATGGCCATATGTCTGTACATGCATACTTTCACATTTGGTTGCAAATGTGAAATCAGGAAAAAAAGAAAAAGGAAAAAAGAAAAATCTACAATATGAAAATTTGTGTATTGACTTGAACAATAGATAGTTACACTGAATGAATTGCAGGTCGAGTTTACTAATGGACAGTCTGTGGCTACAATAAGTTTGACCATTCTCAATGACAACTTGGCCGAGTTGCCTGAGGTCACCTACATACGACTAACGGAAGTCACAGAGTCTGGAACAGATCTCCCGGGCAGGGGAGCCACTATAGGTTGGTTACAATGTATAGCATATTGTTGGTATTAAGAAAGACATTGTAAATTCATTAACTGTCTAATGGGTAACTTTCCCAATATTTCATGTTTGTGCTTTCACTCTAGACTTTGACATGAATACAACAATATGTGAATATTTACCAATGCACTGTATGGAATTTGCACAAAAAAGTTCATTGCCACCTCAGCAGTAGATTTGTAGTTTTATATTTAGCAATTATCATAATTGGCAATTTAGAATTTGAGAAAAGTCCATGATATTAATATAAGTACAGTGATCATGTACATTTCCTTATGTTTGCAAAAGACTTTGATGTACTTTGCATTGCCGTTTGCCTTACTGGTCTTTGCATTTGTTTTTTTTACATTTTCAAGACATACAAGACTATGCTGAAGGGCAAAGTCAAATCTATACTGTTCTCAGATTTTTGTATGAATGATAAATGAAAGGTAATAAAATAAAGGAGATATAAAAATTTAAAAAAACAACCTCAATGAATATTTCACAAGCTGTAATTTTTTCAGTAATTTTTTTTCTGTCATTTTACAACCTACATTTGTGGGGTAAGTTGAATGATTTCATGTAAATCTGAAAAACACTCCACCCAAAAAAATATTTCTTTAAATTTTCGTGAAACTGATCATGCTTTGAACATTTTGGCTTTGCAATCATTGCAATGCAGAAAACAACAATTCTAGCACCATTGGGTACAGCTGGTCAGTGACTTGCCCTCTGTTTTTGTCCTGTTTACATTGAACAATTTCTGATTTCTCCCTCTGCAGGAGACAATAATGTGGCCACTGTTGTGGTACAGGCCAATGACTCGCCCTATGGAGTGGTGCTGTGGGAAAAAGGAGTCATGTTTGTGGGAGAACCGAATGGGACCGACCTTACCCTGGTCGCCTACATCCTCCGACAACAGGGCATGATGGGAATGCTACAAGTGGCGTACCAGTATGTATAATACCCTCGTGATATATACTTAACAGACTGAGAGTATATCTATTTTATTTGGTGTACTTCTTGTTGAAAGTTTTCTGTTGGTATATGTTTGGATTTTTAGCTCACATGGCCCTTTGGGCCATGTGAGCTTATGCTGGCGTCCGTCTGTCAACTTTTTCTTTTGAAGGACTTCTTCTGAAGAACTGTAGGACCTAGGGTCATGATATTTGGTCAGTAGATACCTGGGATGCAGTGCTATGAAGTTTCCTTATTAAAATGACCTTGACCTACTTTCAAGGTCACAGAGGTCAAATATGTAAAAAATAATAATCAAACAACAATATCCAAAGAACCATTTTAACTAGAGTCATGATACTTGGGTATGTTATGTAGACCAGCAGTGCAAATATTTTTCTCAGTTACAGTTATGAGGTAAAAGGTCAACTTTAAATGCTAGTATGGGGTCAAATGTCAACTTTGGTTAAAAGATTTAACAATCTCCTTCTCAAGTTCCATAAGGCCCAGGGTCATGATATTTGGTCAGTAAGTACCTGGGATGTGGTGCTATAAAGTTTCCTCATTAAAAAGACCTAGACCTGCTTTGAAGGTCACGGGGGTCAAATATGTTTAAAATTTCAAACAACAATATCTTAAGAACCATTTGAACTGGAGTCATGATACACGGGTGTGTTATGTAGACCAGCAGTTCGAATATTTTTCTCAGTTACAGTTATGAGGTCAAAGGTCAACTTTAAGTGCAAATCAGGATTCAAAGGTCAATATGGGTTAAAAGCTTTAAAATTGAAATTTGAAGTTTCAAACAACAATATCTTCAAAACCGTTTAAGAGATGTTAAAATGTCTTGTGGTCTAGTTACCAAATTTGGTCTTAAGTTACCTATATGTCAGTTGCATGTAACAAAAGTGTAATTACCTGTATTGGATCAGATTTTAAAAAAATCAGTTATTTTTAAAGAAAAAATCAATGGTAACAGACTTGTTGCTGGCCTGAATAGTTTTGTCATTCTTTGATCTAATGATAGTGTTACACACTTGTTTTATGTTCGAAGGACGACTGCTAACACTGGGGTGGAGGTGGACAAACGGGCGGTGTCGGGCGACGATTTCGTGGCCAAGCAGAGTGTAGCAATCCTACAGGAGAATGCCACCAGGGTACCCATAGAGATTGTTGTCAAACAGGTGAGGCTGTCGGTTGCTAGAGATTACCTACATTGACTCAATTACAGTTGTTTTTCGCATTAACTGGAACTTCTGTGCAATATGTATCATATTTGTCACTTTTTGAGATGGCTGGACATTTATTAATGCATTTGGAACTAACGTTTTCATAGAAAATCGAAATCATGTCGGGATTTAATGCTCAATTTAGATTTGGTGAAAAAGCATTAAGTGCATCCTATGGAATGGGGATCATGTGGTGGGTATTAGTTCACCCATGGATAACAGCTTTAGTTAAAGGTATTCTATGTAATGAATTACTGTATGCCAATTTTCATTGCAGTTAAGCTTTTGCGTTTTACCATAGCAGTGAAGAAAACTTCAAAATATTTGCATACCACATATAGCAGTTATACAAGGAGGGCAATTTTTTTTTGTCATTTTGAATAGTTCTGTTCTCAATGTTCGCGGCAATAAATTGGGACAACAATGTGTTTTTTTCCAGGATGCTCTTCCTGAAGGTGATGAATCTTTCCTTGTGAACATCACCGGTGTGACCTTAGCTGGCCCAGCCCCGCCTCCAGGGGCAGCACCAAGTGTACAAACCCCTGGCAACCTCCTGTCAATCACGATCCAAGAGAATGACAATGCTCGTGGAATTGTACAGTTCAATGTTACTACAGTAAGTTCTATATACGGAGAGATTATTTTATTTCTTTATAAATAAGTCGAAAACTTTCATTAATATCTCCATTTAAGAAAAAAAAATTAAGGTGTTGATGAAATTGTTCCAAAGGAATAACCAAATGTAATTATTCATATATTCTTTTCAAAATTACCCTCTTAAACATCTGTTTGCATGCAATTATTCATGATTATAAAATTTAAACTGTAATGAACTCAACTATCATTTCTGTCTTTATACATATATAGTCCAAGTCAAGAGGTTCTGAAACATATTTATCAGAAACAAAAAGAAAGTTGACATTGATGATGTATCAGCTGATAATGATCTAATATCATTCTGCATACAATTGATGCGGAGAATTTAACCTAACAAACTTAACTCTGATTCCTACTTTCACCAGAACATTGAGGGTCGTATAGATACGTATGAGGAGTTTGGTAAGAATATGACAGTGAGGCTGAAGGTCAGTCGTTCAGTTGGTACCCTGGGCCCTATTACAATCACCTGGCAGGGAGATCCTAGGGAGGCAAACATACTGGACTTCTCACCATCCAGTGGCACACTACGACTGGAGGACGGGGAAATGGATGGCTACATCACTATCTACATACTGGACGACACCATCCCAGAGGCAATGGAGGTATACAGTTGGAACTCGGTTATCTAGAAAATTTGATTTCCATAAAATATTCAAAATGCTTATTTTTTTCCAAGTATTTCCACTTTTTAGGTAGTACTGTACTGAAACATATGAAAGGTGAACTTCCAGATTTTCATATTGAAGATACACCTGTGTTGTAACACAATAGGAAAAAGATGTATCGTGATGAGGGAGGTGTGTTACACCTGTAGTACTAGACTGCAGTTGTCTAGTGTTTAAAGTTTCTTGTGCAATTTTTAAATAATATATGTATCCACAACTTAAATGATTGGTAACGTCTACTATTTACATGACCTTGAGTTCCTTGATTTCCAGACATTTGATGTGAAGCTCATCAGTAAAAGTGGTGGCTCTGAATTTGGACCAAACAGAAGTGTCCGAGTGGCCATCCTGAAGAATGACTCGCCCAATGGTCTCTTCAGGTTTGTGCAGGCTGAGGTAAGTTAAGTGTTTGAGGAGGTTAAAATATTTCCTTTACCATGTTCCTGTTATTAACTGCAATGAAATTTTCATTGGAAATTCCCATATCTATAATATGAAGCTTGCAGAATATTTAATTTTTCTTCCTGTTTGCAGTGAAGTGAAACCACAAAATGTGTGTATCAGCTATATGAATGACATAAGACTCATGTTTGGACATGCATGCATAGTATGCTTCAAAATATTTATCAGAAGAAGAATTTTCACATGTAAAGCCACAAATCTTGGAAATCATTTAGTTATTGTAAATCTGTCAAATAAATTGTAAATTATCCTCGCAAGAGTTATCTCCCTTATATCACTCTGGGTTCCACCTGATGCACATATTTGATAATGCCATGTCCAATATTCCAGAGCACAGTGAAGGAGTCAAGGTCAGTTGATGACCCTGAGGGTGAGGTCACCTTACAGATAGAACGAGTACAGGGGTCAGAGGGCGTGGTCAACGTGCGCTGGAGACTGAGTGCGGAGGCAGCCTTTGACTTTGATGAACCTCAGTCTGGCACTCTCCAGTTTGCTCAGGTATAGCATCTGTTTTTCTCTTACCCTGTACAGGTGTATCTGCACTTTTACCGGTGTGAGATTTCCTTGTCTCGCCCTAGGGTTGAGACGGGGGCATTCCTCTATTCATAACAATGACATGACGTCACTTCAACAATACAATGATGTCACGTCAACAATCCATCAATGTCACATCAACCCTGAATTTAGCATGTAACGTTACCTTTTCATTGTGTATATGATACACAATGGGAGAACAGGGTAAGAGAAAAAGAATCATTCACCCCCTTGTGGGCGAGATAGGGGAATCTCAACCCTCGGGGAAAGGGTGTGAAAGATTCTATTAGTCTCATGAATAGCTGAGTGATCTGATTTGATACCTTCCTGCATTCCTTAACAGCAGAATTGGAGAAGTGAGGGGTTGGGTTGTATTTTTCCTCTGTTAAGGAGACATAGAAGAGATTAAAAAATGATTTGCTTATTTGTTTCAGTGCAGTGAATTATTTCTCTTGTCTGTTGCTATATTTCCATTGGTAGTTCTGTCCATAGCTGTCATCACATGGCATTGTGTTTCGATGACATAAAGGGAAAAAAATGCTCCATAAATCATCAGAGCATAACAAAATAAAGAAAAACGACAGTTAAAAAGCCAGTTTTGACCCAATAAACCAAGTAATATTTTATACAGCTTTTATTTTGGAAATGATGTGTTATTTATACAAAGTGGTCTAGCTAGCTAGCTGATCTAGTCTATAGGGAAGCCACATATAATGTAAAATGTTGTTACAAATAGCTTCAATGAAGAAGAGATACAAATATTCTGTTATATTTGAAATTAATTTACAGGGACAAAAGACCAGATCGATTGTGCTGAGGACCAAAATGGATTCCGTATTGGAAGGTGAAGAACGGTTCCGCATCTCCCTGGTAACTGCTGACAACAATGCAGACATCTCGCACAGTGAAGGTGATGCCACTGTGATTATCTCCCCTGATCCTGGAGCTAGTGGTACCATAAGCATTCTACCAGAGTTTAGAAAAGTGTACATTGGGGAACCAGGGGAATCCAGTCCTAGCTATGATGGCCAGCTTCAGATTGTCATCACCAGAGGGCAGGGTATATTTGGGGCCATATCAGTCACATGGTCAGTAACACCGCGGGAGACTTCGACCTTTCTACAGTCAGAGGGCACCGTCCAGTTTGCAGACCTGCAGCAGAAAGCTACCATTACTCTCCAGGTAGGATGTTCTTCAAATAATTGTAATGTCCATCCGTTCATGTTTTTACTATTAATAACATTTTTTTTTCATTTTGCTTCAATTATGAGAAAAAATCTCTTTACCATAACTAGAATTTTACAAGTTTGATGTTTTAGTATATATTCTGTAACACTTCATTTGATACTCTGTTGTTCAATGCATTTGCCCATATTCTATTGGAGAAGTTGGTCTGTAAACTAGTGAAGGAAACAATGTACCAAAAAGAAGCGTCTCCATCACATAATAATGAAGGGCCTGTATTGTATTTCTTTACTACTATAGGCCCAAGACGACACCAGAGCTGAACTGCGTCGGGTGTACACCCTACAGATAAACTCAGCCACCAGCGGGGCTGTCATTAGTAAAGCTCCTGGGGAGTCCTCAGCTGACATTGTGTTTGTGGCCAGCGACTACCCCCATGGCCTGTTTGAATTCACCCTCCCAGAGACCATACTTGTCCAGGAGGATGTTTTCACGGTACGGAAGCAATCCTTTTTTTTGAAAGTGCAGGAAAATTAATACACCTGCTAATGGAAGACACAATTAGGTTTCTTTACCAAAAAGTACCCTTAAAATTATTAAATGAAATATTGATTGTCCTTTTAACGTTAAGGGGAAAAGTACTGCGCTGTTTTCGTTTATGGCAATCCAAACGGTTTAACTGGTTGGACCAGAGTTGTTCGTTTATGAAATAAGGTCGGACCCAGTAATCTGATGTTGCTTTCAGGCGAGCCTTCACAAAGCCTTGCAAGGCCTGCATAAAAACTTTTGGAAGTCTGCCAGAGTTTATTCTAAAAAATGTTACATTTAAAAATGGACGTACCGGTTGTTCCAGATGAACGAACAGGTCCCAGTTGTGGTAAATGTACAAACAGATTAACAATGTCTAGACAATTACTTTGTCAGTGTCAATGTTACCATGTAAGAACAAGGTATTATAGCAAGGCTGGATTGATTTTGACATTTGTTGGAGTAACAAGTAGGGCATTTATTTTACTTTTCTAAGAGGTGACACATGTACATAATCAAAAGGATGTTTTTCTTTAAAAAAAATCCCCAAAAAACACTCGTCTGTAAAGATAGAAATGTAACTACAAAAGCAAATGTACAAAGAAGCAATGCAATATCGTTTACCAGAAATGTACAAATAAATTAGTTATGACTAATCAAAGTTAACAATATTTTGAAATTCTTGTTGTCTTTCCAGTTCACGGTGATGGTGGTGAGACGTTCGGGCCTGGAAAGTCAGGTAATGGTGTCCTATACCACCACACCAGGCACAGCCCAGAACATCCTGGACTTCTTCCCTGCGGCGGGCACCCTGGAGTTCCAGCACGAAGAGAAGCAGAAACTGATTTCTCTACGAATCCAACAGGATGATCTCCCAGAAGGCCCGGAGATGTTTTACGTAAATCTGACCTCCACCAGGTTACGCACTCCTAGGTAGAACTTTGTCAACATCATTTGACACCTAGCTTATTTTGCTTTGACAATTAATAACTCGATTATTACTACTAATGTTTTACTCCGACAGAGTTTCTTATGTCTATGGGATCTTTAAAACTAGGATTTAAGTCTTAACTTTTTCGAATAATAGTCTATGATGTTTTGGTTTAATATATAATTAGAAACATTTGTCCCTTTGAACTTGCAGCAGTAACAATTACACCAAGGTCGGCAACCTACAATTAGACATGGCCCCAGCCATTGGCTCCATCAACGTCAAAACCATCGTCATCAACAAGAATGACAATGCTGAGGGTACTATCCAGTTTGACTCCTCTGCTAAAGACATGTCCAGTAAGTTGCTAGGAAGCTGCATAGCTATGTTAAAAATGGAAACTTGTAAACATTTTATCTCTGTTATTAACTACTTGGGATATCTAGGACTTATAGAGAGAATTGTTTGTTATTACTGAAGGTTTATTTATTGAACTAAGACTCATTCCTGAAGATTCTGAACTAAGACTCATTCCTGAAGATTCTCAACTAAGACTCATTCCTGAAGATTCTCTCGACAATGAATTGAAACGTGGATTATAAAGTATAAGATAATAAAAGTGATGTCCTTAGCAAATGTAGATGACGGAAACATGTTATTTTCGTATATATACATTGCCGATACCTTAGAGTTATATGCCAAAACACAAAATAAATGTCAATTAATGCTGCAGTACTGTTTGTTCTTTCTGATAGGACAAAATCTTTAGCATGAATTCTATTGAATCTGTTTTCCTTTGCACAGTTGTCGAAGAAATCGGCACGGCAAAGATCCCCCTGGTGAGACTGGGAGGGGACTATGGGAAGCAGACGGTTCTCTTCTCGACACAAAACACCACGGCCCTAGAAGGCATCGACTACAGTGTTCCGCGGCATGAGGTCATATTTGACCAGGGCCAGACTCGGGCCACCATCAACATTACTGTCCATGATGACTCCGAGATGGAGCATGCAGAGCGCTTCAATATCATGCTCAACAGTATTGTGGGTAAGTATCTGCTATACATTGGCCTACTTTCAAGGACGCAGAGGTCATACTCGTTAAAAAATTCAAGCGACATTTTCTTAAGAACCAAACGTTTCAGAGCCATGTTATTTGGGTATGATCTGTAGACCAGCAGTGTAAACCTTTCTTATATATTATGAATAGGTCATAGGTCAAGTTTCAGTGCTGGCTTGGGTCAAAGGTCAGCATGGATTGTTGTGGGTAAACAGTTTTAAGAATCTTCTGATGAAGTTTAATAATGCTCAGGGTCCTATTATTGGGCCAGTAGGGACCTGTGATGGAATGGTTCTTCATATTAATGACCTTGACCAAGGTCAAGGTTACAGTTCAAATATATTAAAAAAAGTTATCATATGAATCATAAGTTCTACAGCCATAATACTCTGATACATTATGTCCTAGGGTTGTAACTTCAAATTGGTTGGGATCCCCATCACATTATCATTTGTATGCTTAGGATTATCTCAATACTCCAGGCTTTCTATAGGGAAATGTACTTGGGTCATTACATGGATCGGGATCCCAACCCTATAACCATATAGATGTGTATGCAGATCTCAACCAGATTTGTTTGGCGCATAATTTGGACAGGAGAGATGGAGTCTGAAAATGTGGAAATATTTACAACACTTTTATTAATGAGGGCATTTTGCCATGATTGCTTAAATATGCAGGATTGATACAGGCCTTCCGGTCCTCTTGTCTTATTGGGGACATACTACAATATATTGTTCCTTCTAATTTAACGGATCAATGTATAGCAATCTTGGACAAACATCTGATGGTTGAATACCCTGTATTCCTCCAACTATTGATCTGAACCCCACAGGTTTTAGTTAGCAGTGTTTTCCTGTTCCTTAGTTGTAAGCAAGGTTACATTATTGGCCAATCTGATGTAAAAAAAAAGAAGAAAAAAGGGAATACTATTATTCTTGGGTGAACAGTCACTACTGATGATAATTGTTATGCAGTCACCTGTTAAACCACTCCGGACTTAACACCAGGGACTGGTTGTTCAAAACTATCGTTAGGCTAAATATATTCAAACTTTGAACAGTAGATAGTAGGAGTTATAAATGTTTCATTGTGGCTATGATTTGAAATTTATCAGAGAAGAAAGACACCAAACTAATCATCTGATTGCCGTATATGAGGAATGAAATTGATTACATATATATGTCATAATACAGAACCAATTAGCTGCCTACTTGTTTTCTATAAATAAAACACATACTGTAAAAGTGTGACACTCTGTTATACTGTAACAGTGTGACACTTTGTTATACAGTAACAGTGTGACACTCTGTAATACTGTAACAGTGTGACACTCTGTGATACTGTAACAGTGTGACACTCTGTAATACTGTTACAGTGTTACACTCTGTAATACTGTAACAGTGTGACACTCTGTAATACTGTTACAGTGTTACACTCTGTAATACTGTAACAGTGTGACACTCTGTGATACTGTAACAGTGTGACACTCTGTAATACTGTAAAAGTGTGACACTGTAATACTCTAACAGTGTGACACTTTGTAATACTGTAACAGTGTGACAATTTGTAATACTGTAACAGTGTGACACTCTGTAATACTGTAACAGTGTGATACTGTTATACTGTAACAGTGTGACACTTTGTAAAACTCTAACAGTGTGACACCCTGTAATACTGTAACAGTGTAACACTCTGTAATACTGTAACAGTGTGACACTCTGTAATACTGTAACAGTGTGACACTGTAATACTCTAACAGTGTGACACTTTGTAATACTGTAACAGTGTGACACTCTGTAATACTGTAACAATGTAACACTTTGTAATACTGACAGTGTGACAATTTGTGTAATACTGTAACAGTGTGACACTCTGTAACAGTGTGATACTGTTATACTGTAACAGTGTGACACTTTGTAAAACTCTAACAGTGTGACACTCTGTAATACTGTAACAGTGTGACACTCTGTAACAGTGTGATACTGTTATACTGTAACAGTGTGACACTTTGTAATACTGTAACAGTGTGACACTGTAATACTGTAACAGTGTGACACTTTGTAATAGATTTACCCTTTGTGCATGTAATTAATGCTGATTAATGGTATATGCTGTTTCCCAGTGAGGCTTCTCCTAATTTTATTTTTTTTCTTCAGAACTGTCTGATGAGATTTGTCATTAGGATTAACCAATAAGGAAATTATAAGTTTGTGATTGATATACCGTCATGAGAATATTTTGTTTACAAAACATGACAAAAATAAATTTTGATGTTTTCACATGTTGGAATTGAAAATAAGCACATCATTTGACGTGTTAGAATGAAAAATAAACAAGTTGTTTTTCACTTAAAAATAGAGAATTAACAAATTATTACATTGATCTAGTGTGTACCTCCGTAATGTTTACCACCTGGTGTCAACATACATAAGTTTCCAGATTGATTGATAAAGAATATCTAAAATTATAAATAATCTGATATATGTACGTAAATGAAATTTCAAAAGTGGAGAATGCATTTGTTACTGGTAGCTTTGTTTGTGAATATAGAACTTCACACGTCAGTATTTGTCACTTAAAAACAAAATTGACACAAATACAGTCTTTTCTTGTTGAAGTACCGATAAAAATAGACTTTGAAATCATGAATCGGGTCAATTGATGCTATCAAGATGTTGTGAAAGTAGTAAATGTATCAGATCGAGAGGTTATTGCTACGTCATAACAAGGCAGGTGTAGATGTAAATAGGTAATGAAACGGCTTATTGAAGTGTGGTTTCCTGTGTAGTTCCCTGTACAGGTAAATATAGGTACATACTGTGCCCTCAACATGATTTACCTGTAATCACCTTGGCGACTGTTTTGTTTGTAAAGTATCTACCCACTTATTGTTGCCAACTTCCTCGTACCTCAGAGTTTTTACCTGGGATTTACGTGACACTGATGGATGTAAATAAAATTTGTGTCGTGATTATACATTAATTAGCTGCAGTGTAAACTAGCTGTAACATGATGTTTGTCTAAATAGAACATGTTTTTATCGAGGTGGAGCTTCATCTTTCCACATGCCTTATGGTAATGTAGAAAATTAGCATTTGTTTTGGTGTTTGTTAAATGATCAAATTTTTTAAGAAAACAATTTCCTCACCATATACATGTATTGTGAAGTGGAAATGGAATGAGTTGACCCATAACACAGACTGAATTTGGTTTACCTATGACAAATACACATCAGTGTAGTAGGTAGTTTTAATGTGAAGAGCACCTTCAATTTAGAATATATTATCATCGATGTCACTTTATGAGATATTTGTTTAAAGTCTTTTTCCATTTAAAAGTTTTATATCAGTGAAATCTTGCTTTTGAAAACAAAAATAACAATAAACAAAAAACAAAATTCTGATTTCTGGATTGGGGTGGGTTTAAGATATGCATGTCAAGTGATGAGGGGCAAATGTACTTCTGGTAAACAGTGATAATCTGACAGCAGTTAAAACGATATGCAAAAAAAATGGTGTGCAGTTTCTGACTGCTTCATTCCCAATAGATAATCCAGCCACCATCATTCCCAGTAGATAATCCAGCCACCTTCATTCCCAGAAGATTATCCAGCCACCTTCATTTCCAATAGATAATACAGCCATCAGCATTCCCAGTAGATAATCAAGACACCTCCATTCCCAGTAGATAATCCAGTCACCTTCATTTCCAGTATATAATCCAGCCTCTTTCATTCTCAGTAGATAATCCAGCCACCTTCATTCCCAGTAGATAATGTATCCACCTTCATTCCCAGTAGATAATCCAGCCACCTTCATTCCCAGTAGATAATCCAGTCCCCCTCATTTCCAGTAGATAATCCAGTCACCTTCATTTCAAGTATATAATCCAGCCTCTTTCATTCTCTGTAGATAATCCAGCCACCTTCAATCCCAGTAGATAATGTATCCACCTTCATCCCCAGTAGATAATCCAGCCACCTTCATTCCCAGAAGATTATCCAGCCACCTTCATTTCCAATAGATAATACAGCCATCAGCATTCCCAGTAGATAATCAAGACACCCCCATTCCCAGTAGATAATCCAGTCCCCCTCATTTCCAGTAGATAATCCAGTCACCTTCATTTCCAGTATATAATCAAGCCTCTTTCATTCTCACTAGATAATCCAGCCACCTTCATTCCCAGAAGATAATCCAGCCACCTTCATTCCCAGAAGATTATCCAGCCACCTTCATTTACAATAGATAATACAGCCATCAGCATTCCCAGTAGAAAATCAAGACACCTCCATTCCCAGTAGATAATCCAGTCACATTCATTCCCAGTAGATAATCCAGTCACATTCATTCCCAGTAGATAATCCAGCCACCTTCATGCCCAAAAGATTATTTTCAGTAGATAATCCAGACACCTTCATTCCCAGTAGATAATGTATCCACCTTCATTCCCAGTAGATAATGTATCCACCTTCGTTCCCAGTAGATAATCCAGCCACCCTCATTCCCAGTAGATAATCCAGTCCCCCTCATTTCCAGTAGATAATCCAGTCACCTTCATTCCCAGTAGATAATCCAGTCACATTCATTCCCAGTAGATACTCCAGCCACCTTCATTCCCAGTAGATAATCCAGTCACCCTCATTTCCAGTAGATAATCCAGTCACCTTCATTCCCAGTAGATAATCCAGCCACCTTCATTCCCAAAAGATTATTTTCAGTAGATAATCCAGCCACCTTCATTCCCAAAAGATTATTTTCAGTAGATAATCCAGTCACCTTCATTCCCAGTAGATAATCCAGCCACCTTCATTCCCAAAAGATTATTTTCAGTAGATAATACAGCCACATTCATTCCCAGTAGACAATCCAGACCCATTTATTATGCAGCCAGCTTCATTTCCTTTAGATAACCCAGCCTTCTTCATTCCCAGTAGATAATACATCCACCTTCATTCCCAGTAGATAATCTAACCTCCTTCATTCCCCGTATATGTGGCTGGATAAGACATTTGAGTTACTTTCAACAGTACAATGTAATACAATATGTACTGGCTTTATAGTGAGACAACAAGCTGATTGGTGGCTGGGTGAATAAATCTAGACAACATCAAAATTGTTAATATTTTTTAGTTCCCTGGTATTTTCCTGTTAGTAATGTCTTAACTTCAAAAGGAATTACTTTTTCTGACCATAATTTGTTTAATGAATCATTATCACAATGGTTAATTTCACTTCTTCAGTAATGTACATTTCATCCATCAACATACATCGACAGGAAAATAAATTGTTTTTATAATTTCAATTCCTTTCAACTCCATTGTTTGGACCTACATTCTCAATAGTGAATACAGAAGGAAGTTTTCATGTAAAACACAAGGAAGAGATACAGATGTGGAGCTTGGGTGTCTATCAAGCTTTGTTCAGCATTACACCTAATTCCTGATGTACTACAAGAAAAAGAAAAAAACTTGTGTCTTGGTATTTTAAGATATATATGTATACAAATTACACAGCATTATGTGTAAACTCCAATGTGGTAATGTCGACCAAACAATCATCATTATACTCATCATTATACCCATCATATATTCATTAACATGCTGGTATCTTTTTAACGATAATATACATTTAGATAGCTTTGCACTTTACCCAAACTTTCAAAGTATATAATACATTAACTTTGTTTTGTAACAAAGAAGTCTCGGCATATGCAATCATAACATTGGCGTAATAACATCTAGAAAGTTTTTTGTAATGAGACTAAATTAAACTTATTAATGGAAATTAACTTGTTTCCCCTGAAATTTCATAATGAGCTATTCCAACCTTTGAATCGTAGGAGTTCAATTGAGTCTTCAGGGGCGAATAATAGAATCTTACCCTACTCCTAGAGGGTGTGACAGAGAAATCTCCAATCCGAGGGGTGATGTTTTTTGGTTGTCTAACCCGAGGCTCTGCCGAGGGTTATACAACCAAAATAATCACCCCATCCTATTATTTCAGTCACAGCTCCACCAGCAGTAGTCTGCCATGTTTGTAAACAAAAACACAAGTGGGGTATGTATATCGTCATTCACTTTTGATGACGTCACACTTATCGGTGACACATTTTAATGACGTCACAATTGAACACAAGATAAACGGCACGAGGCTATCTCCCCCTAGGCGGTGACAAGCTGATCTTTCCCGGGTAAAACGGGAGACAAACATGTGAAGGGTGGGAGAATGAGTTATCTCCACAAGCTACTCCATGACCTCAGTATCCAATGACTTTTGTGATTTCCTATTTAAGAAGAAAATGATCTGATTGTAAAATACTGGCACTGTATTAGAACATCAGTGAAGATCCAGGTACCCAAAACCACAAGGTACAGTTGTAGTTATATTTTAATCATCATTAATTTCTCTTTAACTAACAATAAACTACCAATGTATAAAAGCTTGTTGAGGTGAACTACATGTATGAGCAAATTTCATCAATATAAATATAATTAAGGGACATTTGTTACAATGATCTTTGGATATGTCATCAAAGGGTTGGGGGGGGGGGGGAGGGGGGTATTGGTTATGACACCCTAAACCCATAGATATCATGTTTGAATTATACAGTATTAGAATGCCATTTTCAGCTGTAAGATTTATTTTAGAACTGTTTTCCTGCAACTTTTAAAATATTCCAGGTAGCAGGGGGTTGGCAGCCCCATCATTGTTCTTGGTAAAATGTTTTACAAATTGTTGAGTGCCAGATAACCCTTTTGGCTTGAAGAAAGATACAACAGGCTGAATAATCAGAGATCAACAAATCCTTGATCGGCAGAAAATCTTTGATGTCAAATCCAGGTTTGATAATGATCAGTCCTGCTTGTTGTGAGAGATAAAATTAGTTATTCTCATGAAAGAAAAACAATTTAATCTGTTGTTACATATTTGGCCCTGTGTATTATGACATCCTGATTTAAGTGACTATAAGTACACTGGATCCTCTGGGATGTCGGAGAACGCAGGTTCTACTTCTCCCAGTGACTGGTAGTTCTACCCCCGTTGAAGTAATGCCTGCCAATTTGTTGAAGGAGTTAAGGTTCGGAGTAATTGCCACTTTGTCGGTGTGTCTGCATCCGTGCACGGGCCGTAGTAGAAACTTTGTGGATAGGATTGATCTCAATGAACCCCTCAACAGATGAAATTTATTATATTGAGTTAATAAAAATTATAAAAGTCTTTATTTCCACTTGATAATAGTCAAAGACTCACATATGGTTAAGCATAAATAAAAAATATACACTTCTTACAACAAAATGAGTACAAAAATATTGGGTAGGATAAGTATACAGTTGACATGTTCAGAATGTCACAGTCATTGCCTATCTGTTCCTGTTATTATACATGAAACTGACCTAAAATTTAATGAGAGATTATGTAATAATAATCCCATAAACTAATGTATGGCACATTTCTTGAAAGTCTTTTGCAGTTTTGTACATGTGACTATACCTGATTAGATTTCAGGTATTTCATTCCATGGTTTTGTTGAAGTTACTTATTGCAGTAACACTGGAACCCATTCTACAAATGAATACTAACTCTGGTAGAAATGGCTGGACCACATCATACAGAAGGTTAATCAGCAATATTTATTATAGTTTACACTTCAGAGCAGTACGACAACTCAAAATAGTGACCTGAGGTAAGGAAAGCGGGGACTCTGTCAATGGTTTATACTAATACGGTGAAATCAAAAATGTTTCAATTTTTGTCTTGTCAGGTGGTGCAAAGCTAGGAGATGCCACGGCAGCTACAATCACTATCCTCAAGTCAGACTATCCCAACGGTAACTTTGGCTTCAGTGGTCAGTTGGCTATCACCATGCCTAACCCTGACCGCCAAGTGGACCTGACCTTGGCGATACAGAGGACAGGAGGGTTGACTGGACAACAGACGGTAGGTGTACATGTACTTTCTATTCATTTGGTAGACTAAATGATTTTTCAAATCAAAAGTTCATTTCTTGCTTCTCACTAATTGTCCCTTAAGTCTAAATCACCTCATTTAATATGACTTGCGAAAATAGCAACCCTCAATAATTTTCAAATCAATTTGTTTAAATTCTTCTAAAAAGTATTCATTTAAGTTTTTAAATACTTTAAAACATGCTTAAAACCTTTCTATGCTTATTGATATTGCTATCTTGTTTGTTCTCCAAGGTTTTCTGGCGGATCTTAGGCCCAAATAATCCCGGAAATGTCTTGGTGGAAACCAACGACATAAGTCATAATGAGAATGGTCCGCAGACCACCCAGGGCTCCCTGATCTGGGCAGATGAGGAGTCTGGCGAGAAGACCTTTCAGCTCCGTGTAAAACCTTACACCAGCTGGGAAATCCAGAAGATATTTATCGTTGAGCTGTACAAGGTGCAGGGCTTCCCTGTGGGGTCCGGGGACGGAGAGATTGGACCATCTACTGGCAAAGTTGTCTTAACGGTAAGGGTGTGCTGTCATAAGTACCCACGGCTTAAATGATTCCTACACTCCAGATACAGACTGATTGGGGGGGGAACAAGGATGAAACAGTGTTCCCTTATGCTTATTGTGTGACCTGTATATTGCTATATAAAATTATTCTGAAAATTTCTTAATCTTGTGAAATAACAAAAAATGACCTTGCAACATTCTGGCCTTATAACCTACATTGTTTAAATACTTATATTATGACCTCAATATTTATCAATTATGGACTTTTGTCGAAGTTATAAGATTGTTAAATTGACCTGATAGAGTGATATCGACCGAGGACGCATACTCTGTCAGGTCCATATAACAATGTTAAATTGACCTGATAGAGTGATATCTACCGAGGACACATACTCTGTCAGGTCCATATAACAATGTTAAATTGACCTGATAGAGTGATATCGACTGAGGACGCATACTCTGTCAGGTCCATATAACAATGTTAAATTGACCTGATAGAGTGATATCTACCGAGGACGCATACTCTGTCAGGTCCATATAACAATGTATTGACTGAGACAAAAGTCTTTAATTTCTATATTACATACCATGTCTTTAGATAACATGAGGTATTAGATATCCTAATAAAGAGAATCTAGGGGTGGTTTTCGGAACAAAATATCCGGATCTAAAAATGAGGTTGATCATGCAGGTCATGTGCAAGAAAGAAATTAAACATAAAGTTGATATGCTGTATATTGTCAAACCTGAAACCAAGGATTAGCCAATTATAGAGTCAAGGAAAACTAGACCATAAACCAAGGATTAGCCAATTATAGAGCCAAGGAAAACTAGACCATAAACCAATTAAGGATTAGCCAATTATAGAGTCAAGAAAAACTAGACCATAAACCAAGGATTAGCCAATTATAGAGTCAAGGAAAACTAGACGATATGGGATATTGTTTGATATTCTCAGATCTGTTTATTCATATGCTGAGATCTTATGACCGTAGATTGAGAAGTTTGGTGATCCCAATGGAATCCTCCAGTTCGAGGGTGTGGCTAAATCTGAACAAATGGTGGATGAGCCAGAGGGGACGGGGATGTTAGACCTTCGCTTCCCCGTCAGTCGTCGCGCGGACACGGGCACTGTGGGCAGTGTACAGGTAAGGATTTCTGTTAGGCTTTCCGTGTTATCAATATCCTGTGTAGATTAAAGTTGCCCTTTTATAGCTCATCATATATCTTTCCGGGATGATTTTCAGTTGAACGATGAAGAAAATTCAGACTATATTATAGATTCAATTAAAAATGTCCACATGTTTTGATATTAATTTGAGCAGTTAAAAAATAATATCTAATCTTGTTATTTAGGAATGATCAGTTTGAAGCAGTACATTGGCTTGACCTTGAACATTTCATAATTCTTCGATCAAATTTTATAACCGTTATTTGTTGCTTCTCTAGGTATTCTAGAATACAGTTGTACATCGTTATTTTATGTTTATCTTCTAGGTATTCTGGGATATAACTGTACAATCGTTACTTTGTGTTGATTCTCCAGGTATTCTGGAATATAACTGTACAATCTTTACTTTGTGTTGATTCTCCAGGTATTCTGGGATATAACTGTACAATCGTTACTTTGTGTTGATTCTCCAGCCATCTGGGATATGACTGTACAATCATTACTTTGTGTTGATTCTCCAGGTATTCTGGGATATAACTGGGCCCATGGACGGTACAGCAGACTTTCAGCCACGGAATGGTTCCATCGTTATAGGGGAGGGACAAAGGGACTCCTCCATTGTCATACAGGTCCTTCCTGATGATGTCCCGGAACTTACTGAGCGATACAAACTCTCCCTGGAGTCAGTTGGAGGGGGAGCAGAGATAGCCAAAGTAGACAACACCTCCTTCTTCAGTATCAGGTAGGTCTCCTGATGTAGTACACATGTTCAAATGTTCATACTGAGTTTAAAATTAATAGGGGGGGGGGGGGGGGGGGGGGGGGGGCACAAGCATTACAGTTTAAAAATTATACAAAATATTATGTAAAATTATGTAAAACAGAAACACTACTGTGGATGTGGTGAAAGCTATTACTTTGGGTACAAAGTTATTTTAAACTTCTTCACTGTGAAGTTGTCAAGGGTTTGAATTTTGAAGTCCAACTTCAAGTATGAACCTCTTGATCTTGATAATGAAGTTGTTATCTTGTTTGTTGAAGTTGGTGTCTTGATTGGTGAAGTTGGTGTCTTGGTTTGTGAAGTTGGTGTCTTGGTTGATGAAGTTAGTGTCTTGGTTGATGAAGTTGGTGTATTGGTTGATGAAGTTGGTGTCTTGGTTGATGAAGTTGGTGTCTTGGTTGATGAGGTTGGTGTCTTGGTTGATGAAGTTGGTGTCTTGGTTGATGAAGTTGGTGTCTTGGTTGATGAAGTTGGTGTCTTG